CTCCCTTCCTTCCCCTCCCCCTCCCTCCCTCTCCCCTCTCTCCTCTCTCCTCCTCCTCTCCTTCTCCACCTGCACCCCTCCGCCTCGCTCCAACGCGTCGCGATCGGACGCCGCACAGCCCGCGATCTCTCCTGATTTCGCCTGCATCTAGGCAAGCATCCTCAGAGGTAGTGAGGCACTACATCTGAGGATGCTTGCCATAGATGCAGGCGAAATGTCAGGAGAGAATGCCTCTAGAACATGGCCATATAGCCCGGAAAAACCTACAACAACCCAGTATTTACATTGTCCTTTAGACCCACTTTTGGGGTCAATGTTTTTGTTTTCCCAAATAACATTTATTAAATAATTCCAAAAAAATTAAAAATAAAATTTATACTAAAAGAGTCAGTGTTGGGGAAAGAGGGGAAGGGAAGGAAGTAAAGTAATTTGGGGTTAATAAATTTGTTGTTGGATATGTCGCAAAGAAAGAACAAAGATGGTAAGGTTTATTGGGGTATAGGAGTTCTTTTACAAAGTTATCATTAATAAAACTAAATCTTCTCTGTTCCTTTAATACACATTCCATAAATATTGAAGATTCTAAAAAAATTAAATTTAGGTCTATTCTTTTTGACTAAAATTTATTTTGCTTAAACATATACAGTAGCTCTTGGCCATTTAAATGCATCGAAATGTGCGTTCCAATAGTAATTTTGAAAGAAAATCATACCAAAATACTGATTGAAATGTGCCACCTTTTAATCTCAGATGTTTTATTAGGTAACTGACCACTACATTTGGGTGGTGAAGTCCACTTGCCGTCCTCACACCGAATTTCTGCAGCTCCTCTCATTTCAAATGATTGCTCACACTCCAAATGCAGTATATCTCCATGGTGGTAGGTTCTTAAATTGTATAATAATTTCACGTTAGGTGGTTGAGGAGGAGGAGGACACTTGTTTCTTATTTCTGGAAAAAAGAAAGAGGAGAAGCACGTTCTGGTTGGTTGTGTGATCTTTATCATATAATCATTTGGAAATTGATTTGGAAAGGAGCCCCTGGTGGCGCAGTGGGTTAAAGCCCTGTGCCGGTAGGACTGAAGACCGACAGGTCGCAGGTTCGAATCCGGGGAGAGGCGGATGAGCTCCCTCTATCAGCTCCAGCTCCTCATGCAAAGGGGACATGAGAGAAGCCTCCCAAAAGGATGATAAAAACATCAAATCACCCAGGCGTCCCCTGGGCAATGTCCTTGCAGGCGGCCAATTCTCTCACACCAGAAGCGACTTGCAGTTTCTCAAGTCACTCCTGACACGACAAATAAAATAATTTGGAAATTATTCACTAATTTACAGTAACTTGATGAAATCAGTTTGGGACTATTGGGAAGAGAGAGAAATTCTAGTGAAACCTCCCAGTCTTGGCTTCATAATGACTGCAAAAGAATTACCTTCGCATACTGGAGGTTGTGGGTACCAGCCAAAGTAATAGCACTGAATTAATTCTGCTCCTTTTAAATAATAGCCTTCCAGGCAGAAAAACTGAACAACATCTCCTTCTTCATATCTCCCTTTCCTGGGATGAAGACTTATGTGTTGTATAGGATTTACAAATGAACATCCAAATTCTGAAAAGGAATGTGACGCAAGCATAAGAAACAATGAAGTGTTCTATATATATATATATATATATATATATATATATATATATATATATGGCTTGGTTGATCAAGAAAAAATGCTTCTAAACTCATTTTGTATATAGGGGGCGCTGGCGGTTCGATTTTGAAATTATTTCTGAAATTTTCTTGAAAAAAAGATCGGAAATACCAGGAAATACGAATAGTGTCTTTTGTTTCGTTAATGGAAGGTGCCCCTCCTTCCCTCCAGAACCATTAAAATCTCAGTTTCCCTTCCTTCCCTTGCCACGAGCTTCCATGCAGAAGGGAGAGGCATGGCCAAGCACAGCTCTCCTTGGAGGCCTCGCCCCCAGCATTTACGATTCACTGGCGGAAGTCGTAAGGAAGATGGCGGACGCGGCTTCGATATGGTAAAAACACTTCCAGGTTGCCAAAACGTGTCGATATCGCTTCAAAAGGTAATTTATTTACGATTTCATTACGATTTAAAAAACGTACGACTTGGATCAACCAACCCTAATATATACATATTAGGTGGGTAATACAATCTTTGCTTCATTCAACCAAAACAAAGACCAAACAAGGCAAGACAGGACAGCCAAAAATGAAAAATGTGTACATCAACCTACTGATACACATGGGAGAATGGGACCAGCCTTGTGGAAGACACTGCACCTCCTCTGTTGAATTGCCTCCAGTAGTAAGATATCCCTCATCACAGCTATATTTCAGTTTTTCATTAAGACTGAAATGTCTCTGGACTGTATGGTAGAGTCCATGGAGAAGGTCTGGTGCTGAACAAGTTGCTTTAAAAAAAAAGACAGAAGTGGCTGAATGTATTCTGTGAAAGAGAAGATAGTGAGCAAAAGACCCAGGGAGATAAAAAAAAATAGCAAACAATTGCATGCATATACATTATAAAGGAGGGTGGAATAATTTCATTTGTTGGTTTTCAACTGTAACATCAGATCTTGAAAGATTTAGAGGGGAACTGATAGGTGAGTATGTGTCATTGTAGAGAAATTCAAGGGAATAGCTCTTGTTTTCTTTTAAGTTGTTTGTAAAATATTTTTAAAATTCCCCAAAATTAGTAGATAAGTGAAAGGTTCCAAAACTTGGGGTAAAAGTGTCCTACAAATATAGCAAGTTCCATCCGGATAGCAGAGAAATGAGCCTCAAAGTGTTCCCATTGGTGCAAATGGGTAGATTAACAAAACAAAATATTAACAAATTTTTTGGTGTTTTGAATTCAAAACAAAATGGACCCCTCAAGATAGTTTAAACTAGAGGGCATACTAAATTCACATGTCAAAACAAAACAGATTTATTATTATTATTATTATTATTATTATTATTATTATTATTATTATTATTATTATTTGCACTTTGCACATGATTGTATTATGAATTTGTAACCACCTTGAGTCTTACTATGGGATAAAGATACCATACAAATGCAACAAACAATAAAATAAATATATTTATTAGGCCTGGGTAACAACGGAAAAATTTGTTTCTAAAATCGATTTGTATTTGGGGGTTTTTTTTTGTTTCAATATTTAAAATAATTACAAAATTTTCCTTTTAAAAAGTTCGATATTTACGAAATTTCGTAAATGGTAAAAAATTAACGAATCGATTTCCGAAACAATAACGAATCGATTCGTTAATGGCGGACGCGACCGCGAAATACGCTAAAAAACCTCCAAAACCTTCTGAAGCTTCCTCTCCCTCTGTTGTTGACTGTTGGTGTGATATTATAATTTTTTTTCACTAATTAAACCATAAAACTGGCCCAGACATGCGGAAATAATAACGAAACGACCTCAAAACAATAACGAAACGAATACAATATCGAAATACGAAGCATTTACAGAACGTTTTTGAAAATTCGTTTTTTTAAATAATTGCTCCAGAATGGTTCGTTATCGTTTTGTAATTGAAAAAATTAACGAATTATTAACGAATTACGAATTAACGAAACGAAACCGCCCAGCCCTAATATTTATGGTTTGACCCAATAGGTGGGAGAACCCAAAATAAGGGTTCTCGTTCAGATTACAGGGGGACCCCTTTTCACTTGGACAAGATACTAGGATTTCATTTATGCATTAAGAGAGAGGGCAAAGAGGTACATTTCACATAGTGGTATTTTTATTATATATTTCTTTTTTCAGTTTCTTTAATTTGGGGCTTTATTATTTACTTTAAATGAAAGACTGATTCTACAATCAATATTACATTGGTACGTCACTTGATTCTTGGAACTTTTAGGTCATTGGATACATGTTATGGACTTAAATATATAAATACTGTAAATAAATAAATACAAATACTGTAAATAAATTAAATTGGGTTTGTTTACAATACTCATTTATGATTGACCCTACAGAACCCAGCAGTTGGTACATTTGCATTCTCTCATTCCTGGCTGTAGCACTGATTCTGTTGATGTGCAGTACGCTGCAATGCAGCAGCTCCCTCCTGTGGCAGTTCTGAGATACCTAGAAACAAAAAGCTGCATATTTAATATGTTTTCAAAGACTTTCATGGCCAGAATCACTAGGTTGCTGTGAGTTTTCTGGGCTGTATGGCCATGTTCTAGAAGCATTCTCTCCTGACGCTTCAACGTCATCTATGGCATGCATCCTCAGATGTGGAATGTCCAGGGTGGGAAAAAGAACTCTTGTTTGCTTGAGGCAAGTATGAATGTTGTAATTGGCCACCTTGATTAGCACTGAATGGCCTTGCAGCTTCAAAGCCTGGCTGTTTCCTGCCGGGGGAATCCTTTGTTGAGAGGTGTTAGCTGGTCCTGATTGTTTCATGTCTGGAATTCCCCAGTTTTCTGAGGTGGCCAATTGCACAGAGATGTACTTACTAGAAGTGTCTGTCAGTCCTCCTCTGCAGATTCAACAATTTATTGGAACTCTGGCTGGCTGTTGCTACAGAGTGACAAATCTCTCTAGTATCCCCATTGGAGCTTTCTGATGCTGAGCAGAATTCTGGGAAATGTAGTTTAGGGCAAGGCCTTTTCAATTATCTGGCATAGGGCTCCTCACCTTCCCAAGCTATGTTTCCCAGAATTCTGTGCTTTCTATCTCTTTCCAAGTGAACTCTTTCTCTCTGCCTCTTCTCCCTCCTCATGGCAAGAGGCCATTAATTTAAAGAGAAAAGGTAGCCCTTTTGGCTTTATTTATTTATTTATTTATTTCGGGTACTTTTACCCCGCCCTTCTCAACCCCCAAGGGGGGACTCAGGGCGGCTTACAAAAAGGCATAGTTAAAACAATTATCACAGTTAAAACAATCAAAACAATTAGAATATAACACATCATATAAAAACTAATCTCATGCTCAGCGTTCGTCTTTCAGAGTTCCATAATTCCATTCCATTAGTCATTTCCTGTCCATTGTTAAAGTCCTTTCTCTATCTGCCCGATTGTCTGAATGCCTGGTCCCAAATCCATGTTTTCAGTTTTTTCCTAAAGGAAAGGAGTGATGTCGCTGATCTAATTTCCCCAGGGAGTGAATTCCACAGGTGGGGGGCCACCACCGAGAAGGCCCTGCTCCTCGTCCCCGCCAACCTCACTTGTGATAGAGGCAGGGTCGAGAGCAGGGCCCCCCAGAGGATCTTAGACTCCAGGGTGGGACGTAGAGGGAGATCCGTTCGGACAGATACACTGGGCTGGAGCCGTATAGGCTTTTGTAGGTCAAAACCAGCACTTTGAATTGTTCTCGGAACTGGATCGGCTGCCAGTGGAGTTGACACAACAGGGGGGTGGTATGTTCCCTGTATGACACTCAGGTGAGCAGTCTGACTGCCTCCCGCTGGACTAGTTGGAGTTTCCGAACAGTCTTCAAAGGCAACCCCACGTAGAGTGTGTTGCAATAATCTAATCGGGATATAACAAGAGCGTGGACCACCGTGGCTTACTTGTGCCAAAAATTAAACTGACTTTAGGAGACTTCCGAGGTTTACAAAATTCAAACAAAAATAGTATTGAGTAAATTTTGATTCTGAAGTTTTTGCGCAGGCCACACCCATATGTTGTACGAATTTAACCAATTTGATCCGACTTACGAGGACTAATGATAATTTTGCACATCCCTGATTGACATATATAATTGTAATATTTTAAAAGCCACAGGACAATATTAGTATTTCCAGGAGAAATCAGGAATTCAAAAGTTTTCAAACTTAGACTTTCTCCCTTCCTGAATACATGCTTTCAGATTGACTACAAATAGCCAAAGTTTGCTGGTCAACACTCTGAAATCTATGGAACTATCTCTTCCAAATAACCAGCAAGTACATTTGAAGTTCCTCAGTACCTGTAAAAACAAAATCACAAATCTTATTCATAATTTTAATGAAGAGTGGTACCTAAAACCATACCAGTTTCTTTAATGCATTGTGGCTGGGTTGACCATCCGTCTTGAAGGCACTGCATAGTTTTATCCTTGCCGCCTTCGGGAGTCCAATAACCCGAATCACAGGTGAACTGCAGGCTCTCCCATATTGCATAGGACAGTTTTGCATCAGAGAAAACACCATTAGTCAAGGGAGGTTTCACACATTTTTCTAATCAATTGCACATATTGAATAAAAACAAAGGGAAAATATTATTATCCATTTGCCATTTGCCAACTTAGAATCATAGAATCATTAGAGTTGGAAGAGACCTCATAGGCCATCCAGTCCAACCTCCTGCCAAGAAGCAGGAACTTCTTATACAACAGAGACATTCATAGATACGAGGGTTGAATGAAAAGTGATGCCTCCACCTTCATAACTCCTCAAGAGATGGCAGTACTGGTATGCAGCAGGTACTGGCTTATTCAGTAGACTCTCCTCTACAGTTCCATTTTGGCGGGAAGCCTTAGCATTGAAAGGTTATGTTGTTAAAGTGCGAAGTATGGAATCCTGTGCAGACGGCCGGTCAATGCGACTTAAGCAATGTGCAGTCATTGAATTCTTGACAGCAGAAGGTGTCACCCCAAAGGAGATTCATCAGAGAATGCAAGCTGTTTATGATGACTGTGTTGATGTGAGTACTGTACATCATTGGGTGAGTGAGTTTAAAGATGTTGAGGTGAGAGCATCTGACTTGCGTGACAAACAAAGAGTTGGATGTCCTGTGACAGAAACCACTGAGTTTCACAAGCAAAAGGTTGACAGATTGATTCAGGACAATCGTCGTATCACTCAAACATAATTGGCATTTCACAAGAACGTGTTGATCGTATTATTACTTTGCTTGGCTATTGGAAGATCTGTGCACAATGGGTACCCAGGATGCTGACACCTGAAATGAAAGTGCACAGACTTGAAATTTCAGAGACTGGATCTCACCACCATACGACATCCTCCATACAGGCCAGATTTAGCACCATCTGACTTCCATCTGTTCCCGATAATGAAAGAAGATCTGTGGAACATCATTATGCTTGTGATGAAGACGTTGAGAGAACTGTGAGACACTGGTTGCGGAAACAGAGTGTCGACTTCTTCCATGACGGCTTCAGAAAACTTGTTCATCTTGGCAGAAATGTATCCAATTGTCTGGTGATTATGTGGAAAAGTGAATAGTGGTAGTTAAAGAGCACATTCTAAGGATTATTTCTGCATTTTATTTATTAAAATATTCCCATCCAAACCCAAGTAATGAAGGTGGAGGCATTACTTTTCATTCAACCCTCGTAGAAGAAACATACCAAGTCATTTATCCAATCCTTTCCCCCAAAGAAGCATTTTACCCATTTGCATGATGATACTGCAATAACTGTACAAATTCTGTCATAAGTTCCAGTTTGCAAGGAAAGCTAGGTTACAAATGACATTAAGAACAATAAAAGAACAGTTTGCATGGCTTCACAAAATACATAATCTTAAATAGAGGAGAACAGGGAATCACACCGTGTAACAAGATTTTTGTTCTGAGGTTATAAATGTCATTTCCTAATTAGTTCAATTATAATAACATGGTAAACGTTTATTAAACTGGCAAAAACTTTGTTTTTGTGGGACATCCGCAGCACCTCAGGAGGAGAAGGAGGAAGTCCTGCTGCTTCTTCCCCCACCTCAAGCCAGCTAAGAGGAGAAAGGGGACTAAGGAGGAGACTTTGAAAGCACCTGTCTCCTGGCTGTTGCTTACTACATCTGCCTGCCACCTCAGGAGGAGGAGAAATCCTGCTGCTTCTCTCCCCCTCCCCAAGCCAGCTAAGAGGAGAACGGGGACTGAAGAGGAGTCTTTAAAAACACTTGTCTCCTGGCTGTGCTTACTACATCTGCCTGCCATCTCAGAAGGAGGAGGAGGAAGTCCTGCTGCTTCTCCCTCCATCCCAAACCAGCTAAGAGGAGAAAGGGGACTGAGGAGGAGACTTTAAAAACACCTGTCTCCTGGCTGTTGCTTAATACATCTGCCTGCCACCTCAGGGGGAGAAGGAGGAAATCCTGCTGCTCCCCCCCCCCCAAGCCAGCTAAGAGGAGAAAGGGGACTGAGGAGGAGACTTTAAAAACACCAGTCTCCTGGCTGTTGCTTACTACATCTGCCTGCCACCTCAGGAGGAGAAGGAGGAAACCCTGCTGCTTTCCCCCCCACCCCAAGCCAGCTAAGAGGAAAAAGGGGACTGAAGAGGAGACTTTAAAAACACCTGTGTCCTGTCTATGCTTACTACATCTGCCTGCCATCTCAGAAGGAGGAGGAGGAAGTCCTGCTGCTTCTCCCTCCATCCCAAACCAGCTAAGAGGAGAAAGGGGACTGAGGAGGAGACTTTAGAAACACCTGTCTCCTGGCTGTTGCTTATTGTTTCTGTTGTGGTTTTATATTGTATTTAATGTTTTTACATGCATTTTGATATTATGTGTATTGACTTGCTGCCTGTAAACTGCCTTGAGTCACCGAAAGGCTGAGAAAGGCGGTATACAAAAACAGTAAATAAATGAATGAATGAACGAATGAATATCTCATTGAGTCTCAACCAATTCAACATAGTTTGTGGCAGTCACAAAAATGAAATTTCTGGAGTATAATAACTACTTTCAAAGCAAGCAAGACACAATTAAACAGGAAATAACACTTTCAAACCAGGAACAGATTTTCTTTTTCAAATTTTGTTACATAGTATTATGTATGATGAGAGTTACACTGTACTTGGAAGTTATAAGTTTAAAGTAACTGTGTTACTTCTTCAGGACCCTAATACACTTTAAAAGTAACTAAGTTGCATTTTAAGAGTCACATCACAATAAAGAATAGTTTCTAAAACATACTTTGTTGATGTAATGTTACTTGTTGAAGGGAAGCTTTGAGACATTTTGACTTTTATTTTGGGGCAGGAGTTTAATGTCATTTTTTATGGTTTATAAATAGATTTTTTCCATTCAAAAAACAAAGAAAAGTAATAAAAAAGCAAGGAGCAATATCAAAAGTAACACAGTGACTTATTTTTTTAAACACTGCAGGTTACCTCTCAAGCATAAAAATGGTCCTATTTACACTGCCATATAAAATCCAGATTATATGAGTCCACACTGCCATATAATCCAGTTCAGAGCCGATATTCTGGATTTTAAATGGCAGTGTAGATGGAGTCAATGAGGTATCAGAATGAACTACTTTTTGGAAGTAGCGTTCTGTGTAAACTCATGTCCCTTCTTAGTCTTCTTTTTTCTTACTCAAGTGGGATCATTTTAATCTTCAGGTTTTCTATATAACTATTATAGCTGGCTTCTTATTTCATCTGCAGATTTTAATGTGGACGAACAGTTCACATTAGTATCTGCAGATGAAATGAGAAGCCAGCTACAATAGTTAGCTCTCCCTGTACTTATCAAAACTATATATGTAGTTGTTGTGTACACTACTTGCTGGTGCCCACAAATATTATATACAGTACAAACCCTTTTCTACCAAAAGTACTCTTACATGACTGGCTCTTACTGCCTGGCTTTGATTTTCTGAAATAATACATATTTTATATGATCTAAATTGCTGTATTGCTTGCCAAATTAAGGAAAGTAAAATAGTATGAAAATAGCTTGCTCAAAATTTGGTCACTTACATGGTCTCCATCTGCTCATTTCTGTATGTCTCAAGACGTTTCCGATCTATGGCAACCCTACGGTGACCTTATCACATGAAAGGTACACATTATATGTGGGTTTCCCTGTATTGTCTTGAATCCTGAAAAAATCCTCTTAGACAATGACATGGACTTACTATAGCATTTTGGGACTGGCGTCCAGCCTCTTAATGTGCAGTTTGTACTTCCAACTTGACCACCGCTCTCTGTTGCATAACCAGCCAAACATGAATAAGAAAGCTTTTCACCTTGCTTCATCGGAAAGTAATAATTTCTAAAACTGTAATAATATGGAGCAATTCTTCCATTTTCTATGTTGGGCAAGTCACAGAGCTCCTCTAGAAAAAAACGAGTTATAGTCAATTAGAAATATTTCTCTAGAATATAAACATTATTTCAGAAACAATGTAAATTTAATACTAGTCCACTAACTTATCGGTAAACAAGGCTACTGTGCCAGGAACTTGAAATTTGGCAAGTAGTTATGTTGCAGCATGATAGGAGAGATAATATCAAGAGAAATCCTTTCTGGAGAAAGAAAAGTACAGCTTTATTTCCAGTGGGAAGGAATCCCACTGGAGCATTGCAGCACACCCAAATACCTGGGAGTCACTCTGAACCGTGCTCTTACCTACAAGAAGCACTGCCTGAACATCAAGCAAAAAGTAGGTGCTAGAAACAATATCATACGAAAACTGACTGGCACAACCTGGGGATCACAACCAGACACCGTGAAGACATCTGCCCTTGCGCTGTGCTACTCTGCTGCTGAGTACGCATGCCCAGTGTGGAACACATAACACCATGCTAAAACAATGGATCTGGCTCTCAGTGAGACATGCCGCATTATCATGGGGTGTCTGCGCCCTACACCACTGGAGAAATTGCACTGTCTAGCCGGTATCGCACCACCTGATAGTAGCAGCCAATAGTGAAAGGACCAAGGCAGTGACATCTCCAGCCCATCCCTTGTTTGCGTATCAGCCAGCACGTCAACGACTTAAATCAAGAAATAGTTTTCTAAGAACTACAGAGACACTCGCTGGAACACCCCAGTAAGCGAGAGTCCAAAAGTGGCAGGCTCAAACCCAGAACCTCAATCAATGGTTGATACCAAATGAGAGACTCCCCCCTGGGCACACAGAAAACTGGGCAATTTGGAAGGCGCTGAACAGACTGTGCTCTGGCACCACGAGATGCAGAGCCAATCTTAAGAAATGGGGCTACAAAGTGGAATCCACGACATGCGAGTGTGGAGAAGAGCAAACTACAGACCACCTGCTGCAATGCAACCTGAGCCCTGCTACATGCACAATGGAGAACCTCCTTGGGACAACACCAGAAGCACACCAGCTACTGGTCAAAGGACATTGAATCAACTACCAAGCTTGCAAATTCTGTGTTTTGTCTGTCTGTTTGTTTGTTTGTTTTTGTTAAAAATGTAATACAAATATCTGGTTGCTGATGACACCATAAATAAAAAAAGAAAATTTCCAGCTGGGACCCTGGAGTGGAGCTGTGTCCAAAAGCAACCAGAGTGCCGATAAAGGCGTTGACCTTGCCTTTTATAACTCCAGAAATGGAGGCAAACAAAGAAACATGCTTCTACATACATTGACATCATTTACTGCGTCACTTTAGCATCATAGAAATATCAAATTTTATCTTCCAACATATAAAAGGCAAGTCTCTATATTTTTTTCCTGTGAGTAGCATACAGCTTACAGCTTACATTCATCAATCAAGGGGCCTACTTTGACCTGTCAGGAGGGAGGGGAAAAGGCTCCTTACTTAGAAGTTAGATGCTATATTGTACCAGTCTCTGTATAGATAACATGCCCCCTTCTCCTCCCCCATTTAACATTCTTTCTCTGTCCTGCTGGTTTTCTTACCCAGAGAGAACCTGATTTTTCTATACATTTCAGTTTTGGTAAAGTACATACAATATATGCATAAATAAATATCTATTTTTCCAATATCTACCCATCAGTTACCAATAGTGGAGGACTATCTTGTTGTCAAGGGCTTTCATGGCCAGAATCACTGAGTTGTGAGTTTTTTGGACTGTATGTCCATGCTCCTGTAGCATTCTCTCCTAGTGTTTTGCCTGCATCTGTAACAAGCATCCCCAGAGGTTTGTTCAGAGGTCTGTTGGAAATGAAGCCCCTTGTATAAAACTGTCCAGACCCTGAGATCTTCATGAGAGGCCCTTCCCTCAGTCCCCATCTCAAGCTCTGTTGCTGGGAATGAGAAAGTGGGCCTTCCTTCTCAGTTGTTACCTCTTAACTCAGGAACTCCCTGCTCAGGTAAGTCAGAATGTGCGTGTGTGTGTATGCGGGGGGGGGGGGGGGGGGACACAAAATCTGGCTACCAGTATTGAAAAAAAAACCAAAACAAAACTCTAAAATCAGAACAGTACATAATGAACAACACTCAGAAGAAAAGGAAATTCCAGACAGGAAACAATCAAGGCCAGTTAACACCTCTCAACATAGGATTCCCCCAGGCAGGAAGCAGCCAAGCTTTGAAACTGCAAGGCCATTCAATGCTAATCAAGCTGACCAATTGCAACATTCACACTTGCCTCAAACAGACATGAGTTCTTTCTCCCACCCTGGCCTTTCCACAGATATATAAACCCCACTTGCCAGTTTCCAACAGACCTCACAGCCTCTGAGGATGCCTGCCATAGATGTGGGTGAAACGTCAGGAGACAATGCTTCCAGAACATGGCCATATAGCAACCCAGTGATTCTGACCATGAAAGCCTTTGACAACACATAATCAATAGTTATTATTAGTAAGACAGAGGATTCCACAACCTGGTGGTATTAGAAAAGGAAACAAAAAGAAAACATGACCAGTGGAATACAGTGCTAAATAGAAGCTACCATTTAAAGGGTTTGCTAAACTTACTGTGTTTTCTTGGGAAAGTTTGTGTGGTTTGAATGTTACTCCTACGTGTTGCTAAAATGCAACCCTTAACAGTGTTGAAAACATAACTGGGAATTTTTTCCCTCTGCAAAATAATTTCCTATACTTGCTCCAGATGAAAATAACATCACATCTGCAATATCATTTTATTTTTAGCAATGGCCAAGCAGTATCCTGAGAAAACTCTATAGAAGAGGCAATCCTTTAACTTTCTTTGTAGATTATCTTATGCATTGTAAACATACCTTTGCATTGTAAACAGACCCTTCACCTACTTCAGTATCTGCTTTGAAAATAAGCTCTAAGGACACACGTACTTTGATAAATCCTAAAAGGTGTCAAATTTACATTGAAAGGAGGGATGGGGAAAGAAAAAGATGGAAGAATCTGGTATCTTGTGAAGACCGGGCAAAGAGAAATGTTTTTAAAATGTATGTTTCTAAGGTAGCAATCTCCCTTCAAGGCTGCAACCTTTATTTGTTCTTAAGAGATAACATTTCTATTTTCATCCATTAATACCACAAGGTTAAATGTTGTTGTTGTTCATTCGTTCAGTCGTCTCCGACTCTTCGTGACCTCATGGACCAGCCCACGCCAGAGCTCCCTGTCGGCCGTCACCACCCCCAGCTCCTTCAAGGTCAGTCCAGTCACTTCAAGGCTGCCATCCATCCATCTTGCCCTTGGTCGGCCCCTCTTCCTTTTGCCTTCCACTTTCCCCAGCATAATTGTCTTCTCTAGGCTTTCCTGTCTCCTCATGATGTGGCCAAAGTACTTCAACTTTGTCTCTAGTATCTTTCCCTCCAGTGAGCAGTCGGGCTTTATTTCCTGGAGGATGGAGTGGTTGGATCTTCTCGCAGTCCAAGGCACTCTCAGCACTTTCCTCCAACACCACAGCTCAAAAGCATCGATCTTCCTTCGCTCAGCCTTCCCTAAGGTCCAGCTCTCACATCCGTAGGTTACTACAGGGAATACCATGGCTTTGACTAGGCGGATCTTCGTTGCCAGTGTGATGTCTCTACTCTTCACTATTTTATCGAGATTGGACATTGCTCTCCTCCCAAGAAGTAAGCGTCTTCTGATTTCCTGGCCACAGTCTGCATCTGCAGTAATCTTTGCACCTAGAAATACAAAGTCTGTCACTGCCTCCACGTTTTCTCCCTCTATTTCCCAGTTGTCAATCATTCTTGTTGCCATAATCTTGGTTTTTTTGATGTTTAGCTGCAACCCGGCTTTTGCGCTTTCTTCTTTCACCTTGATTAGAAGGCTCCTCAGCTCCTCCTCGCTTTCGGCCATCAGATTGGTGTCATCTGCATATCTGAGGTTGTTAATGTTTCTTCCAGCAATTTTCACCCCAGCTTTGCATTCATCCAGCCCCGCACATCGCATGATGTGTTCTGCATACACGTTAAAAAGGTTGGGTGAGAGTATGCAGCCTTGCCGTACGCCTTTCCCAATCTTGAACCAGTCTGTTGTTCCGTGGTCAGTTCTGACTGTTGCTACTTGGTCCTTGTACAGATTCCTCAGGAGAGAGACAAGGTGGCTTGGGATGCCCATCCCACCAAGAACTTGCCACAATTTATTATGATCCACACAGTCAAAGGCTTTAGAATAGTCAATGAAGCAGAAGTAGATATTTTTCTGAAACTCCCTGCCTTTCTCCATTATCCAGCGGATATTGGCAATCTGGTCTCTCGTTCCTCTGCCTTTTCTAAACCCAGCTTGAACATCTGGCAACTCTCGCTCCATGTATTGCTGGAGTCTTCCTTGCAGGATCTTGAGCATTACCTTACTGGCATGAGAAATAAGGGCCACTGTACGGAAGTTTGAGCAGTCTTTTGCATTTCCCTTTTTTGGTTAAATAGCACATATTAATTATCAGCAGTATGGGATGATTTGAAATGAAGACGTGTAGCTGGTCAATAGTGTTTTTTTCTTGAAATAGTTACATTATCTATATAAATAAAAATGTAATGTTCGTTTGTGATATTAACAGAACCCAAAAACCACTAGACCAGTGTTTCTCAACCTGGGGGTTGGGACCCCTGAGGGGGTCGCGAAGGGGTGTCAGAGGGGTCGCCAAAGACCATCAGAAAACACAGTATTTTTTGTTGGTCATGGGGGTTCTGTGTGGGAAGTTTGGCCCAATTCTATCATTGGTGGGGTTCAGAACGCCACTTGATTGTAGGTGAACTATAAATCCCAGTTTCTACAACTGCCAAATGTCAAATTCTATTTCCCCCAAACCCCATCAGTGTTCACATTTTGGCATATTGAGTATCCATGCAAAGTTTGGTCCAGATCCATCATTGTTTGAGCCCACAGTGCTCTCTGGATGTAGGCGAGCTACAACTCCCAAACTCAAGGTCAATGCCCACCAAACCCTTCCAGTATTTTCTGTTAATCATGGGCGTTCTCTGTACCAACTTTGGTTCAATTCCATTGTTGGCGGGGTTCAGAATGCTCTTTGTTACATGTTAACTATAAATCCTAGCAACTACAACTCCCAAATGACAGAAGCAATTTCCCCACCAACCCCACCAGTATTCAAATTTGGGCATACTGGGTATTTGTATCAAATTTGCTCCAGTGAATGAAAATACATCCTGCAGATCATTATTTACATGGCGTTTCATAATGTTAGGGTTATGGTTGGGGGTCACCACAACATGAGGAACTGTATTAAGGGGTCGCTGCATTAGGAAGATTGAGAACCACTGCACTAGATGAATTGACACCAAATTTGGACACAAGACACCTAACAACCCAATGTATGTCCTTCACTCAAAACTTTTTGATTTTGTCATTTGGGAGTTGTAGTTCTTGGGATTTATAGTTCACCTACAATCAAAGAGCATTCTGAACTCCACCAATGACGGAATTGAAACAAAGGTGACACACAGGACTCCCATGACCAACAGAAAACACTAGAAGGGTTTGGTGGGCATTGACCTTGGGTTTGGGAGTTGTAGTTCACCTACATCCAGAGAGCACTGTCAACTCAAACAATGATGGATCTGGACCAAACTTGGCACATATATTCCATATGCCCAAAAATGAACACAGGTGGAGTTTGGAGGAAATAGACCTCAACATTTGGGAGTTGTAGTTACTGGGATTTATACTTCACCTACAATCAAAGAGCCTTCTGAACCCTACAAATGACAGAATTGGGGCAAACTTCCCACACAGAACCCCCATGATCAACAGAAAATACTTAAGGCCATCCAGTCTAACTCCCTTCACCAGGGCAAGAAAACGTAATCAAAGCCCTCCTGACAAAGAGCCATACAGCCAAAGATCTATATGATTCACACACAGATATAGTATCATAGATTTGAAAGTGGCCCCTAAAGAAGGACAATGATATGTTGCATGTTCCAGGGTGGGCAAACCAGACACTCTCCACATCAACTGACAAAGGAAAAGCAAGAAATACTGTTTAGCCACAAGCATAAAGAAATTACATATATTAGAAACCAACACTTTCTCATTACTTTATTTTCCAGATCACCAGACTGGACCACAGCAATGCGTGGCAGGGGACAGCTAGTAGTTAGATAATATTTAGTTAGATATATTCAGCTAGGTCATGCATTGGACTGAATTACAAGAGTTAGGGAAACATTTGCTGCTTAAATGTTGTGTCTAAATGCTCCAAAATAAAGGAAGGAAAAGTAGGAACACACTGGCTAACCTAGGGCAGAGGCGGCCCTAGGTAATTTTCAACGGTAAGCAAACAGTATTTCGGCACCCCCCTTCCCCCAACCAATCACTGATATATATTTTCCGGAAATTGTTTTAAACAAGGGATGTGTTTATACTGCAAAATGAATGCAGTTTGACACCACCACTACTGCCATGGTTCAGTGCTATGGATTCATAAGAGTTTAGTTCAGAGGTGGCCCTAGGTAATTTTCAATGGTAAGCAAACAGTATTTTCCCCCCCCCCACCAATCACTGATATATATTTTCTGTTCATCGTGGGAGTTCTGTGTGCCATATTTGGTTCAATTCCATCATTGGTGGAGTTCAGAATGCTCTTTGATTGAAGGTGAACTATACATCCCAGTAACTACAACTCGCATATGTCAAGTTCTATTTCCCCCCAAGAGCGCCCCTGAGCAACATCAACTATACTGCAAATGCTTACTTTGCGTAATGGGTTGAGCCGCCCCTGCCGGAGGGTTACCCATTTTCCTATTAAACATACAAATCATTAAAAAATCCAGAAAACATTATGGGAAATATTCCAGTATCAATACCAGAACAAGAGTCATGTGACACCTTTAAGATAGAACTATAATAGCCTGAACTTCATAGATTATGTTCCACTTTGTTGGATGCATTGTATATACCAGGGTCCCCAAACTAAGGCTCAGGGGCCAGATATGGCCCTCCAAGGTCATTTACCTGGGCCTCGCTCAGGGTCTGAAACAACTTGAAAGCACACAACAACCCTATTTCATCAGCCAAAAGCAGGCCCACACTTCCCTTTGAAATAGGGAAGTGAAATATTTGTTAAAATTGTTCTTCATTTTAATTATTGTATTGTTTTTAAGTGTTTTTGCACTACAAATAAGATATGTGCCGGAGCCCTCGGTGGCACAGTGGGTTAAACCCCTGTGCCAGCAGGACTGAAGACTGACAGGTCGCAGGTTCGAATCCGGGGAGAGGCGGATGAGCTCCCTCTATCAGCTCCAGCTCCTCATGCGGGGACATGAGAGAAGCCTCCCACAAGGATGATAAAACATCAAATCATCCGGGCGTCCCCTGGGCAACGTCCTTGCAGACGGCCAATTCTCTCACACTAGAAGTGACTTGCAGTTTCTCAAGTTGCTCCTGACATGACAAAAAAAAGATATGTGTCGTATGCATAGAAATATATTCATGTTTATTTCAAATTATAATCTGGCTCTCCAACAGTTTGAGGGATTGTGATCTGGCCCTCTGTTTAAAAAGTTTGAGGACCCCTGGTATATACATTTCAAGTCTCTTTCTGCAACATATTTACAGAGTTGGATTATGGATCAGGGGACATAAGAAATATGTGAATTCCCCAGTAAATATTGAATATGAGTTAAGATATACTATATGTGGGTCAACAACCACTTCAATTAAAACACAAGTTTAGCAAATTTCCAGGATTTTTGAATACAGAACAAATCTCAAAATACTTTTACCTTCTGCAAGGATTTCTTCCGAGGCAACCAATAAAAATAGAAAAATCCAGCTTTTATATCCCATCCTGCGTGCAGCTTGTATTACACCAACTCTGCTGGTTTACTCAGTTTCAGGAGGAAAATCAGTTAATAATTGACAAGAATGTGCCTTTTGCCTTCTTCCATTGTATTAACATGTATTCCTTAAATATAATTTCATGTTTCTATTTCTGAGCTCCAGAAAAACACCTAAAATTCTGGAATGCCATTCTAAGTTGCACTAACAGCCAACCAAAGCATACGTTAATGCTCATCCATGCAGTAGGTAGGGAGGAAAATCCTAATGCCTTTAGCTGATTGAGTTAATGGATAAGTCAATGAAATAATTATTAATGTTTGAGAAAACATAGTCATAATAATTAGTCAAAAAATAAGCAGCCAAAGAAATGCACTTAAAGGTCTAAAATAAAAATACGGGGATGGTTGACAAATTTAAATACCCTGGAATCTGTTTAATAGACTTGCGCTTTCAGGGTAAACCTTGCCCGGCTTTGTGTTCTGGCTTTCGTTGGGAACTTCAATCCGTTTTTTGGGAGCCTCCTGAAACTGGGAGGGTAGATTGGGAGGAAGTATGCAATTCCTCTGTTGCGTCAGCTCCACTGACTGCCAGTCTGCTACCGGGGTACAATTCAAAGTGCTAGCGTTAACCTATAAAGTCCTAAACCAGTGGTTCTCAACCTGAGGTCCCCAGATGTTTTTGGCCTACAACTCCCAGAAATCCCAGCCAGTTTATTAGCTGTTATGATTTCTGGGAGTTGTAGGCTAAAAACATTTGGGGACCCCAGGTTGAGAACCACTGCCCTAAACGGTTCTGGCCCAACTTACCTGTCTGAATGCATCTTCCCTTATGAACCTGCTAGGACTTTAAGATCATCCGGGGAGGCCCTGCTCTAGATCCCGCCTGCATCACAAACACGGTTGGTGGGGACGAGAGACAGGGCCTTCTCAGTGGTGGCCCCTCAGCTATGGAACGCCCTACCTGGGGACATTAGATCGGCCCTCTCCCTCTTAACATTTTGGAAGACTTGGTTGTTTGAGCAAGCGTTTGAAAATGCAAGGTAAAAGACATAGGAATTGGAACGACTGGACGACGAGATGGGACAATGTTTTTATTAGGAGATGCAAATTGGGAGGGATAGCCAATACTCCAGAGGACAGAAGCAGGATTCAAAATGATCTTGACAGATTAGAGAGATGGGCCGAAACTAACAAAATGAAGTTCAACAGTGACAAATGCAAGATACTCCACTTTGGCAGGAAAAACGAAATGCAAAGATACAAAAATAAGGGACGCATGGTTCGAGAGCAGTACGTGTGAAAAAGATCTTGGAGTCCTCGTGGACAACAAGTTAAACATGAGCCAACAATGTGATGTGGCGGCAAAAAGCCAATGGGATTTTGGCCTGCATCAATAGGAGCATAGTGTCTAGATCTAGGGAAGTCATGCTACCCCTCTATTCTGCTTTGGTTAGACCACACCTGGAATATTGTGTCCAATTCTGGGCACCACAATTCAAGAGATATTGACAAGCTGGAATGTGTCCAGAGGAGGGCGACTAAAATGATCAAGAGTCTGGAGAACAAGCCCTATGAGGAGCGGCTTAAGGAGCTGGGCAGGTTTAACCTGAAGAAGAGAAGGCTGAGAGGCGATATGATAGCCATGTATAAATATGTGAGAGGAAGCTACAGGGAGGAGGGAGCAAGCTTGTTTTCTGCTTCCTTGGAGACTAGGACGCGGAACAATGGCTTCAAACTACAAGAGAGGAGATTCCATCTGAACATGAGGAAGAACTTCCTGACTGTGAGAGCGTTCAGCAGTGGAACTCTCTGCCCGGAGTGTGGTGGAGGCTCCTTCTTTGGAAGCTTTTAAACAGAGGCTGGATGGCCATCTGTCAGGGGTGATTTGAATGCAATATTCCTGCTTCTTGGCAGGGGGTTGGACTGGATGGCCCATGAGGTCTCTTCCAACTCTTTGATTATATGATTCTATGATTCATTTTAGTATTCTTGTTATGGTTTTATATTATGTGTTAATGTTTTTAAATGTTTTATGGTGTTTTTGGGCATCAAATCGTTGCCATTGTAAACCGCCCTGAGTTGCATAAGGGCTGAGAAGGGCTGTATACAAATATAGTTAATAAATATTTTTCAGTTTGGGGCCCTGAAAATCGGACCATTAGGGGAGGGGTTCCCTACCCACTGGCTCCCCTTCCCAGTGTGTGCTTTAAAGGAGCTTCTGTTCTTACCTCATGCCTACTTACGCCTGCACTCAGCTGCAGGCACTGGCAGGCGTGTGCACTTTTCGGGCCTGCCTGCATGCCATGCCACACACGCACTCCTTGGAAAGAGACTGTGTGTGTGGCGTGGTGTGCAGGCAGGCCCAGAAAGCATGCACACCGGCCAGTGCCTGCAGCCAAGCACCTCCTACTCTAGAGTAAGAGGTGCTCAGTTTCAGGTACACTCCAGACCTGTCTACATGCCCCACCACACACGCACTCTCTTTCTCGCACATTATTACAGCAAGTTATCTAAGTAAAATAAATTAGAAGTGTTGGGAGTACACCGTAGTTTATGAATAACTACTAGTATTGATCATTTCCAATATTTATTCAACTTTCATTTCCTTTGTAAGATCTGTATCTGCCAGGCAAACATTGGTCACATGTGGGCAAATATGGTGTTTCATTGCCATATTCACTTTTTTGTGTGAATCAAAATGTTCTCGTCATGCTCGGTTTCCCAACAATAGCCATAATTTACTTTTTAATGGAATATAATTTTTTCTAGTTCTGTTATAATTTGAATCCCAAATCCATGTGCTTAACTATTTTTATATTTGGTTTTTATTCACCTTGGGCCTTGTCTCCAGATGTCCCCTTTTCGTGGTTTCAATGCTTGACTCCTAATCAGGCTTTTGTGTTTCATTTTGGAAAAGGAAAAGAAACCTGGAAGTGTATTGTCTAAGGTTTTCACAGCTGGAATCACTGGAGTGTTGTGTGGTTTCTGGACTGTATGGCCATGTTCTAGCAGCATTTTCTCCTGATGTTTCACCTGCATCTGTGGCTGGCATCTTCAGAAGATCTGATGGTGGTAAAGTAAGTGGAGTACAAATACCTGTGGAATGTCTAGGGTGCGAGAAAGAACTAATGTCTATTAACCAAGTGTGAATGATACAATTAGCAACTCTGATTTGGAAGTGTTTGAGTGGGATCCAACCATTAGAATGTGAGTAGCTGCATTTGGTGGTACCTATGTAGACTTGTCCACAGCTACTCGGTGTGCGATAGATGAGTGTTTCTCAACCTGGGGATCAGGACCCCTAGTGGGGTCACGAGGGGGTTTCAGAGGGGTCACCCTGGCCATATAAAGTTTTAAAGGTCAGGACCAACATCTTATTCAAACCACAATACTCAATTGCGAGCCAGTGTAGATGCCGCAGCACTGGTGTTATATGGCATTTCATGTGCGTTTTTGTGAGTAACCTGGCTGCAGCATTCTGGACAATACGGAGCTTTCGGGTCGTAGAAATAGGAAGGCCGTTACAATAGTCTAGCCTAGATGTGACCGTGGCATGGATGTCTGTTGCCAGAGCCTCATCAGATAGGTAGGGTGCCAGTTGCCTCGCTTGTTGTAGATGGAAAAAGGCCTGTTTGCTGGCAGCAGCGACCTGAGCCTCCATCGTCAGCTGCGAATCCAAAACGACACCTAAGCTCTTAACGGTAGGTGATTGAGATAGAGCAGCGCCATCAAAGGTAGGTAACTGATGGATCAGGCGGCCATGCCACAGGATCTCAGTCTTCGCCGGATTCACCTTCAGTCTGCTAGCACGTAGCCAGTTTCGACAAAGCCTCCAGGCATAAGGTGAAATTGTCAGGTATTGATGTTACTCCAGGCTCCAAGCGCAACAGTTGGGTGTCGTCCGCATATTGATAGCAGTCCAGGCCGAATCTCTTGGGAAGACAATCGGACATCACCACCAGCATTGACTCAGCTGGACCTGCCATATTGTCTCCAAAAGCAGTTGCTCTACTCCAAAATCAAGAATGGAAAAAGGAATGTTGGTGAGCAGGAAAAGAGATTTAAAGATGGGCTCAAAGCCAACCTTAAAAACTCTGGCATAGACACTGAGAACTGGGAAGCCCTGGCTCTTGACCGCTCCAGCTGGAGGTCAGCTGTGACCAGCAGTGCTGCAGAATTTGAGGAGGCACGAATGGAGGGCGAAAGGGAGAAGCGTGCCAAGAGGAAGGCGCGTCAAGCCAACCCCGACCGAGACCGCCTTCCACCTGGAAACCAATGCCCTCACTGTGGAAGATGCAGAGCAAGAATAGGGCTCCACAGCCACATACGGACCCACAAGAATACGGGAAGACAATCATCCTCGGAAAATGAGGGATCGCCTAAGTAAGTAAGTAAGTACAGATAGCTATAAGTGCTATTTCCTAACCTTTTTCTATTCAATGTAAAGTTGCCCCCCCCCAAAGTATTTATGATGTAATGCCTCACAGTTTTAAAATATAGAAAGTCAAAAGGGACTGCTTGGTTTGTTCTTTGACTTATTCTTAGAAACATCCTTTCTCCAAAATTCGAAACTGACACACCTCCACATTTAGAAATATGTACCCAGTGCCCCCATTTCTTCAAGAATTGGCTGGATGTATATTTACAGGAAAGAAGATTCGGAGCAATGGCTTCAAACAATTAGGAAGAATTTCCTAACTGTGAGAGCTGTTCAGCAGTGGAACTCTCTGCCCTGGAGTGTGGTGGAGGCTTTTTCTTTAGATGCTTTTAAACAGAGGCTGGATGGCCGTCTTTCAGGGGTGCTTTGAATGCCATTTTCCTGCTTCTTGGCAAGGGTTTGGACTAGATGGCCCACGAGGTCTCTTACAACTCTATGATATACACACATATACACGTCTATATAAATAAAAATGTAATGTTCATTTGTGGGATTAACAGAACTCAAAAACCATTGGACGAATTGACACCAAATTTGGACACAAGGCACCTAACAACCCAATGTATGTCCTTCACTCTAAAAAATTTATTTTGTCATTCAGGAGTTGTAGTTGCTGGGATTTATAGTTCATCTACAATCAAAGAGCATTCTGAACTCAAACAATGATGGAATTGAACCAAACTTGGCACACAGTTCTCCCATGACCAACAGAAAATACTGGAAGGGTTTGATGGGCAGTGTCCTTTGGTTTTGGAGTTGTAGTTCACCTACATCCAAAGATGACTGTGGACTCAAACAATGATGGATCTGGACCAAACTCTAGAAGAGTACTCAATATCCCCAAATGTGAACACTGGTGGAGTTTGGGAGAAATAGAATCTTGACATTTGGGAGTTGTAGTTGCTGGGATTTATAGTTCACCTACAATCACAGAGCATTCTGAACCCCACCAACGATGGAATTGAACCAAACGTGGCACACAGAACTCCCATGACCAACAGAAAATATTGGAAGGATTTGGTGGGCAGTGTCCTTTGGTTTTGGAGTTGTGGTTCACCTACATCTAGAGATCACTGTGGACTCAAACAATGATGGATCTGGACCAAACTCTACACGAATACTTGATATGCCCAGATGTGAACACTGGTGGAGTTTGGGGAAAATAGAATCTTGACATTTGGGAGTTGTTGCTGGGATTTATAGTTCACCTACAATCACAGAGCATTCTGAACCCCACCAACGATAGAATTGAGCCAAACCTCCCACACAGAACCCCCATGTGGGCCACAGCAATGCGTGGCAGGGGACAGCTAGTAATATATAAACTAGGGTTTTATATCAATGACATGTTCCTTTCAAAGCATGTTCTCTCATATGGAACCATACATATGTTGCAAGACCTTTCCAATATTTCCCATTGATCACTTGCCATATATGCATGTAAATCAGTACCCCGTATTTTCTTAAAGTTTTCAGGGCTTGGGTATGTTGATTCAAGTGAAAGATTTTTGATATTAACTCTTTAATTTGGGGAATTTGGTATTTCACATTTCGTTATAGGACAAGGCATGTGTGTTTTTAAGTATGCTCTGGAGATATGTAGAGAATCTTATGTATTTTGATTCACGTTGGTTGAATCATTTCCTTGCCAGACTTACATTTACCTTTTCAGTAGAAATCAAGTAGCCTATATAGTTTCTAGTTTTAAATAATTTTCTCTTGAAAAAACAAAAAAATGACATACAATTGGAATCAATGGTCAACATAATTTTGTCTAAATTTATTACATATTTTTTAAAAAAGGTTTAGATTTTAAAAAGGTTTAAAAAGGTTAAGATTTAAGCATATTTACAGAAAATGAGGCCTCTTACCCACAGCATAAGCTAACCTATTCTTAGAAAGCCTTCTTTGCTGTATTTTGATGAGTACAATGATGTATAAGCAACTGTAAAGTCTTTTTTTTACATTGTCTTTTTTTTTTTTTAGATTATTAAGCATTAGTTGCAAGAAATTCCAAGAGTGTCCGTCACCATTTCGATAGCTTGCAGCGGATCAATGATCTCTTGAAAGTTATCTTTCCTCAAAATCCAGGCTGGCCTTTGTCTGTAGGGTAAAGAAAATGCTATAATTATCAAAAGCATTTTCAGTAAAAAAAATAATTAAGCCCCAAAGTAGGACTAAGAACGTTTACCTCGAAACCACTTTTTTTCTTGATGTGGAGACTGGCTCAGAGCAATGCCCATTTATGTATGCAGCTGATTTTTGTCTGGCAAGATTCCTCTGGGCATCCATTCGATGTTTGCGGAGTATGAGTCTGTACAGGCTCCGAAGGCGAGCAACTACTTGAGGGTTGCTTCGAATCTCCTGAAAAACAAAGCCACCATTTTATCATTAAAGAAAAAACACAGGTAGAACGATACAGTTGAGGGAATGGGAACAATTATGGTTAAAACATCTAAAAAAAAAACACAGGTAGAACGATACAGTTGAGGGAATGGGAACAATTATGGTTAAAACATCTAAAATACATGTATGCCTCAGACCTTCAGGAGAACTGGTTAAAGATGTTACATCGTTGGTATATAACACCACAAAAATTGGCTATCTATATATATATATAAATGCTCTGTGCATAATCAGTGCCTTAAAAACAAAAGAACCAATGAACGAAATCACACCAAATTTGGCAACAAAACATCTCACAACACAAAGAGTGACCATCACACAAAAACTTATGATTTTGTCATTTGGGAGTTGTAGTTGCTGAGATTTATAGTTCACCTACAATCAGATCATTCTGAACTCCATCATCGGGAATGTCCGTTGCTGGCCTGCGTGAGCACAGGGATTACCATTGGTGTGAATCACAGGCCTACCACGCGGGGAAACCAAACTTGGCAAACAGAACTCCCATGATCAACAGAAAATACTGGAAGGGTTTGGTGAGCATTGACCTTGAGTTTGGGAGTTGTAGTTCACCTATATCCACTGTGGACTCAAAGAATGATGGATCTGGACCAAACTTGGCACAAGCACTCAATACGCCCAAATACGAACACAGATGGAGTTTTGGAGAAATAAACCTTGGCATTTGGGAGTTGTAGTCACTGGGATTCAGTTCACAGTTCAAGAGCATTCTGAACTCCACGAACGACAGAATCAGGACTCAAACAATGATGGATCTGGACCAAACTTGGCACGAATATTCCATATGCCCAAATATGAACACAGATGGAGTTTGGGGGAAAATAGATCTTGACATTTGGAAGTTGTTGTTACTGGGATTCACAGTTCACCTGCAATCAAAGAGTGTTCTGAACCCCCACCAACAACAGAATTGGGCCAAACTTCCCACACAGAACCCCCATTACCAACAGAAAATACTTAAGGCCACCAATCCAACTCCCTTCATCAGGGCAATAAAACATAATCAAAGTCCTCCTGAAAAAGAGCCATCCAGCCATAGATAAAGATAGACAGATAGATAGATTGGGAGTTGTAGTTGCTGGGATTTATAATTCACCTACAATCAAATAGCATGATAGAACTGAACCAACCAGGGCATACAGGACTCCCATGAGCAACAGAAAACACTAGAAGGCTTTGGTGAGCATTGACCTTGGGTTTGGGAGTTGTAGTTCACTTACATCCAGAGATTACCATGGACTCAAACAATGATTGTAGGTGACCTGCTCATTATTTACCTAAGCACTTCGAAAACAGATTTAGCCGTAATTAGAGAAATTAGGTACCGCTAAAAGTGGGGGAGGTGTTTTACAACGCCATAAAGAAAAAAAAGATCAGAAAATGCTGGAATGAGGAAGTCCCGATGGCTCTTCATCATAAAGGATGGAGCGACAGCAGCCCCTGTGGACTCGACCCCAACCATCCATGTCATTGAAACAACACCTCCTTCTGTGCTGTCTGTTCATATACTGTCTATATAAACGGCATTGAACGTTTGCCATGTATGTGTATTTGTGATCCACCCTGAGTCCCCTTCAATGAACAATGAAACCATCAGTAGCCATAATAATGTCATATCACTTTTTAACAGATTAGGCATTTATCAAGAGATATCAATCACGTATAGTAGCAACTTCAATGCTAAGTCTCTCGTCTTTGTAATTTTTTTAAAAAGAAAAATAGGAAGATGAAAAGGGGAGGAAAGGATTCAAACTTACAGAAGCTCTTCTTGAATCTTCTGAAAGAAGTGCAAACAGGCAGCATGTCTTGGTAAAAATGCTTCCACCCTTTTCTGAAATTTTGTCACCAGCTCGCTCTCTGTACATTTGAAGCAAGTCCAACAGAGTTTCCACACACCTTTCCACAGTGTAAACAGTGTCAATCGTCTTGTTATACTGGAAGAGAAGACCACACTTAAATGCGCCTTCTAGCACAGTAACTTTCAGCAAAGCTGTCTGAACTGGAACCAATAAGGCTACAGACAGTAAAAATATAGATATCGATGATTTGAAGAGAGTTACGGTAAATTTGGTTATTGATTTTTCTTCCCTATAGTATAGCACTATTCACCTCAAAGCTCAACTTCTGGGAAATGTTATTATATTTAAGTTGCTCTAACCCTATCATGTCAGTACTTCATCTATATTGTTTGATATACAGAATTAAAGTTGACTGAATGTACTTCAGGTTAAACCAGAAGTCCTCAAACTTTTTTAACAGAGGGCCAGTTCACAGTCCCTCAAACCATTGGAGGGTCTGACTATAATTTACAAAAAATAGGAATGAATTCCTATGCACATTGCAAATATCTTATTTGTAGTGCAAAAAAAAAACTACTTAAAACAATATAATAATTAAAATGATGAACAGTTTTAACAAATATAAACTTATTAGTATTTCAGTGGCAAGTGTGGGCCTGCTTTTGGCTGATGAGATAGGTTTGTTGTTGTGTGCTTTCAAGTCGTTTCAGACTTAGGTTGACCCTAAGCGAGGGCCGGGTAAATGACTTTGGAGGGCCGTATCCGGCCCCCACGCCTTAGTTTGAGGACCCCTGGGTTAAACATAGTTTCCCCAATTAATACATGAGCTAAAATTTCAATTGTAAAAAAATGAAATTTTAAATGAGAACAGTGTCTTGTTCTAAGCCAACAGATGTTTAAAATGCAGATTTATCACAAAACAAAGCTGTTTACCAATACCTCCCCCCTACACACACACACAAGCTGGAGATCCATAAATACCTTTGATAAATTGAGCAGGACTTGAACAGAGTATCTGATAACATCCATGCATGGAACACTCCGATTGCAACTTCGTATCAAAGTAAAAATAGTGGAAACGGCTTCGGTCTGTGCCATGCTTTCACAACACACAGGAGATAGCCTGGTTACAACCTCTGGAGAATAAAAGAGGAACCATAGTAATTTATCTTTCCAAACACTAACAGGTAGCCCAAATACATGCTGGTCGTTTCTATGGCGAGAGAATCAACCGTCTATGAAGACGTTGCCCAGGGGACGCCCGGATGTCTTGCAATCCTGCGAGGAGGCTTCTCTCATGTCCCCTCTCATGCTACAAAACAGGAGCTTTTTTGTTGAGTTCCAGGGCCAGAAAAGCAGATGGCGGAAACAGAAGAACAGCCTGCCTCAGGGGAGTGTGCTTGCTCCATCCATGTTCAACACCTACACAAATGACCAGCCACTGCCAGAAGGGACAGAGAGTTTCATCTATGCTGATGATCATGCCATTACTGCTCAAGCAGGGAGCTTTGAGATGGTAGAACAGAAGCTTTCCGAAGCTCTAGGTGCTCTTACTGCCTATTACAGGGAAAACCAGTTGATCCCCAACCCATCTAAAACACAGACATGTGCCTTTCATCTCAAGAACAGACAAGCATACCGAGCTCTGAGGATTACCTGAGAAGGAATCCCACTGGAGCATTGCAGCACACCCAAATACCTGGGAATCACTCTGGACCGTGTTCTTACCTACAAGAAGCACTGCCTGAACATCAAGCAAAAAGTGGGTGATAGAAACAATATCATACGAAAATTGACTGGCACAACCTGGGGATCACAACCAGACACAGTGAAGACATCTGCCCTTGCGCTATGCTACTCTGCTGCTGAGTACGCATGCCCAGTGTGGAACACATCTCACCACACTAAAACAGTAGATGTGGCTCTTAATGAGACATGCCACATTATCACAGGGTGTCTGCGCCCTACACCACTGGAGAAATTACACTGCTTAGCACCACCTGACATCTGCCGGGAAGTAGCAGCCAATAGTGAAAGGACCAAGGCAGAGACATCTCCAGCTCATCCCCTGTTTGGGTATCAGCCAGCACGTCAACGATTTAAATCTAGAAATAGTTTTCTAAGATCTACAGAGACACTCGCTGGAACACCTCAGCAAGCGAGAGTCCAAAAGTGACAGGCTCAAACCCAGAACATCAACCAATAGCTGATACCAAATGAGAAACTCCCCCCTGGGCATACAGAAGACTGGGCGACTTGGAAGGCGCTGAACAGACTGCGCTCTGGCACTACAAGATGCAGAGCCAACCTCAAGAAATGGGGCTACAAAGTGGAATCCACAACATGCGAGTGTGGAGAAGAGCAAACCACTGACCACCTGCTGCAATGCAACCTGAGCCCTGCAACATGCTTTGTTTGCTTTGTTCTGTTAGAAATATAATATAGTTGACTGGTTGCCCTGACACGACAAATAAATAAGCCCAAATACATGTCCAATAGAAAAGTGAAATCACCAATAAATCCTCACTGATCGATGGCTCCTATTCATATTCTTTACAATCATGTGAAGGCAAGAGGATTCTTAAACCAGGCCCATTTCTGCAGTTGTTTCCATTCTCTAATCCTGTCGTGCATCTTTTAAAGAGCTATCATATCCCTGTAGGCGTAATAATAAATTTGAAGCCAAATATATTTAATTTCTCTATTTTCAGCTACAATGCAATTTAAAGCCCATGGTTCTAAATTGTGCAAGAAGCCTACAGTAATAGTCTCTCAGGCTCTACTGATATTGCCATATAACGCAGTTTCAGAATGCAGATTAGCTGCATCATACTGGATTATGGCAGTGTAGACAAATATAATCCAGTTCAATCTGCATTATATGAGTCTACATCAGATATGGGCAAACCCAGGCCCTGGGGCCGGATGCTCTTTTTCTCAGGTCCTCCTCTCTCACACCACTCTATCCTTCCTTCCCTCTTTATTCCTCCTTCTCTCCTTCCCTTCCTTCCTTCTTTCCCTCTTTCTCCCTCTCCTTCTACCCTTTCATCCCTCCTTCCCTCTCTTTTTCTTTCCTTCATCCTCTCTTCCCTCCCTCCCTTTTCTTCCACCCTTACTTTCATCCTTCTCTTCCTCCCTCCCTCCCGTCTCTTTTCCCTTCCTTCTTTCCTCCTGGAGGATGTTCATCTGAGAGAAGGTAGAGAGGGAATCATAAGAACATTGTTTCAAGATTTAAAAGGGCGTCCCATTGAGGAGGCAGATTTTATTGGTGTATATGTTGATAGCATCATCGGATGCTTATGTAAGGCTGCCCTGAGTCCCCTTGTGGGGAGAAGGGTGGGATAGAAATGTATGTAATAATAACAATGTGGCCCCAAGTTAGAAATTGTGTCCATGCCTGGTCTACACTCACTATATATGCAATCCAAACTGCATTATATGGCAGTGTAGATAGAGCCACAGTTGCATATCTTTAGCCTTTATTCATGGAAAGTGAGAGATTTGCAAGGGATGGAAGAGACTGGAGGTTCACTAGAGATGACTGAGAACAAAACTATATAAATTGTTGACTGAGATACTGGTTTTTCCATTTTAGTACTAGAAGTGCAGTAGTGATGGGGTAGGATCCAATTTAAATTTCATTTTTGTTGTTGTTGTTGTTCATTCGTTCAGTCGTCTCCGACTCTTCGTGACCTCATGGACCAGTCCATGCCAGAGCTCCCTGTCGGCCGTCACCACCCCCAGCTCCTTCAAGGTCAGTCCAGTCACTTCAAGGATGCCATCCATCCATCTTGCCCTTGGTCGGCCCCTCTTCCTTTTGCCTTCCACCTTCCCCAGCATTTCATTTCATTTTAGATAGGCATAAATCAGTTTGGCTGATCCAACTCATTTTGTATTTTCCCTCCCTTTGTGCCATGAGATCAAAGAATAGATTGGCAAATGTAAGTTATGAGTTAATAACTATTATTTCAAAACATGTATTCCTGTCTCTATTTACTTCATCCCTTTGTACATGCAACACAGTCTGACAATTTGTACAATGACGCATCACAGATTGTTAAAAAGGAATTACTAACCCAGATCTTTTAAAGCTGCCAGAATGTAAGAGAAATGCTTATATTTGAGAAGGCGGTGAACAGCCAGTGTAGTTCTGTTACACAGCTTTTTCTCCTCTTTGCTTTCTTTGTTGGCAATCACCAAGCTATCTCGCAGAGCTCGGGTTTCTGCAGTGTCCGTCTTCTTCCTCCACGAGTACCCTCTCCACAATGCCTTACAAGTAGAAAGAGAAAAGAAGACGTAATATTAAGGGGCACAAGAGGAGGCAGCCACAATATTTTTGCATCAAGAGCAAAAATGTGTACTTCCCAAGAACCATCTTATATAATTTCTCAACTAATTCCAGTGTTATATTATTCATAACATCTGAGAAGAGATGGGTGGGAGAGATTTGTTATTCATGCAACTTTTCAAATTGTGATTTGTAATATACTGAATGTAGTTCACAGGACACTATGCCCCAAAAAACAAGAGTAATTTTCAAATGAGTCAATCTTAAGGGGTTTTTTTTGTTTGTTTGTTTTGTTTTTTTGGTCGTGTCAGGAGTGACTTCTGGTGTGAGAGAATTGGCCGTCTGCAAGGCCCAGGGGACGCCTGGATGATTTGATGTTTTTATCATCCTTGTGGGAGGCTTCTCTAATGTCCCCGCATGAGGAGCTGGAGCTGATAGAGGGAGCTCATCCGCCTCTCCCCCGATTCGAACCTGCGACTTGTTGGTCTTCAGTCCTGCCAGCACAGGGGTTTAACCCACTGCGCCACCAGGGGCTCCTTAAGGTGATAGCGAAGTATCTAAAGCAGGGGTCTTCAAACTCTTTAAACAGAGAGCCAGGTCACAATCCCTCAAACTGTTGGAGGGCCAGATTATAATTTGGAAAAAAAATGAATGAATTCCTATGCACTCTACACATATCTTATTTGTAGTGCAAAAACACTTAAAAAACAATACAATAATTAAAATGAAGAACAATATTAACAAATATAAACTTATTAGTATTTCAATGGCAAGTGTGGGCCTGCTTTTGGCTGATGGGATTGGGATGTTTTTATTGTGTGCTTTCAAGTCATTTGAGACTTAGGTTGACCCTGAGCGAGAGCCAGGTAAATGACCTTGGAGGGCTGTATCCGCCCCCCGGGCCTTAGTTTGACGAACCCCTGATCTAAAGAAAATTAGGACATCATCTGATCATTTTGCTTTAACCCTCTATCTGATGAAAACTGATATGTTGACTCTGCACACAGTTCAATAACTTGATTTTGTCAGGCCTGGCACCTACACACACAGGCTTTATTATCATAAGCATATATTGTTGTAGTAGAGTGTGCTGATCAAGCTACAACTAGTAGTAGAAGGGGGAAAAGGGCTGTTCAGTTGTTGGAACAAGAGCAGAGGAAGTGAATTAGGGAGATATTCATGACACCTACAGATACTGAGTCATTCGAAGGTTTCACAGATTCTGAGATGGAGGAGGAGGGAGACGGGAGTAGAGGCTTGAAGCGGGTTACTCAGGAGCAAGAGTCAGATGAAGAACGGGAAAGAACGGGATCTGTGAAATACTCAATGCTCCAACTGAGGAGGAAGACTTCATGGGGTTCACGGGGAGTGATGGGACTGAGAGTGATAACGGAGAGGATGGGCTAGGCTGGACCCGTATGCAAGAGATCAGGGACATATGTACAAAACCCACATCAAGTGATGAGTTTGAAGGGTTTTCAGGAGACTGGCAACCTGGTAATACATGGGGTGATCTAAGTCTTGATAGACGCTGGAAAAGTTGGAGGGACGGGCGGTGGTGAGCAGCTCTGGAAGCTAAAGCAGCTGAGAGTGATGAAGACAGGGTGGAGAGCAGTTCATCATCTGATAATGAGTTATAGGATAAAAGAAGGTATCAAACATTGGGGACTTTGCAGTAGGCAAAGTGTTGTATTCGGGCTTGGGACTTTGTTGCTGCCATTACTTTCATCTTGGGTCCTGGGACTGCAGATTGCTGTATTTCTGTGCTTCTACTGACTGGAATCCTGTAAGTGCTGACTTCTACTTCCCTGCTGACTCCGGATTGTTTTTGGATGGCGACATCGTGTTTTGGACCTAACTCCTGCTTTTGGACGTGCCCCGATTTTGGACTGTTTTCTGACTACGTTTTTGCTTGCTTCCACCTTGTTTCTTTGTGTTACATGAACTCTGTGACTTTGAAGCAGTTTGCTTGAGTTTTTTGTTATCCCGGATTATATTCCAGTATAATCCGGATTATTCTCCAAGTTATGTTTTTTGCATAGCAGTTTGCTACAGACTTTGCTTTCTTGCTAGATACACTGAGTTAAGTGTTTCTAAGCTATTTTTGTTACTTTAATAAACCTTGTTTGGACCTTTTACTTGTGTTTGGCTCCTTTAAGGCTTCTGGTTCACAACATATATGGTATTTAACTGCTTTGACTACCACTTTATACTGAAGCTGCACTTTTTGGAGAAAGGATGAGATACAGATACTCTATTGCTAATACTTACAGGCAACAAACACAAACATTCAAATACATTTTGGCTTTCTGAAACAATACAATGCCTTGAAGTTGTTTATTTACCTGAAATTTGATTATTCCATTGTCCAGTGTTGCTTGCCTCATGTCTTTTTTAATTGCACATGTAGATTTATTTTTGTAGCTCATCCATCTCCTCACCATTCTCTGGATTTTAATAATTTTTTCACGATACTTTAGATACTTTCTTCTCTGCAGTTTGGCCCGATACCACCGCTGTTTATAGACAGATTGAGCCCAAAAGAGAGTATGTATTAAAGATACATTTTTTAAAAATGCAGCCAAGGCTACTCATGTTTGAAGCTTAAGCAATATGACTTGAAACAAAGCTCTGAATATTTTTGTGAACAGACAAAATGAATTTCAGTACAAAGCACTTAATTATGCCTCTGTTTTCCCCAAACTAACCTGAATATACAAAACAGAAGAAAGTTGCACTTGTGCTCGTTTCGACTGAAGATGAATTCTGTAAGCTCTTTGAATTCTAATAGCAGCAAGATGGCGAGATGCAGCAGTTGTAAAATTGTGAAGTCTGCACTGTCTCTGTTACAAAAGTGAAAGAAAAAAAATAGTATTCAAACCAAGGACAAAGCTTCAGCAAATCTAATCTTTAGACTCAAATACAAGGCAGTCCCCAAGTTACAGACATCCATGACACATAGTTAAGAATGGGGGTGAGACAACAGGTAATGAAAGAAATCTACCCCTCAGAAGGGAAATTCACCCCTGATTTATCACGGAAAACAGGTGTCTATACTGAAACTTTATCACCAATCCTTGTTTCTGTAACAGGCCAATTTTTTCAAAATCTAATTATCACAGGGACAGAAACTGAGGTGAAATCTTCTGACTGAGGACAGAGAGCAAAAGAAATACCACAAGGGTGTTAACTCTTCTCTATGCTATCTAAAGCTTTATATATATATATATATATATATATATATATATATATGTGTGTGTGTGTGTGTGTGTGTGTGTGTGTGTGTGCGTGCGTGCGTGTGTGTGTGTGGATAGAGCTAGCTAGCTGGAATTACACTTAAGAAATTACTTACATACAAATTCAATTTAAGAATAAACCTACTGAATTTTGTGTGTAACTCGGGGACTGCCTGTAAAAGAAAAGCGCAAACAGGTTAATGCTCACTGATTCAGCTAGTAGCCCTTGGTGGCTCAATGGGTTAACCTTGTACCAGCAGGACTGCAGACCGAAAAGTCAATGATTCGAATTTGGGGAATGGGGTGAGCTCCCATCTGTCAGCTCCAGCTTCCTTTGCGGGGTCATGAGAGAAACCTACCACCACAGGATGGTAAAACATCCAGGTGTCCCCTCGGCAATGTCCTTGCAGATGGCCAATTTTCTCACACCAGAATTGACTTGCAGTTTCTCAAATTGCTTCTGACACGAAATAAATACTGATTCAGCTGCTCATTTGACCCTTGAAAATATCATACTAGCATATAGCTTTTAGCTGCTAAAAATGACAGATTGCAGCATCAGCACTTGACAAATCGTTTTACTTCAAGGACACGTCTAATAAGGTGCTCTTGTCAATAGAATAGGAGTAAAGAAATCTATATAAATAAAAATGTAATGTTTGTTTGTGGGATTAACAGAACTCAAAAACCACTGGACGAATTGACACCAAATTTGGACACAAGACACCTAACAACCCAATGTATGTCCTTCACTCAAAAAAAAATGATTTTGTCATTTGGGAGTTGTAGTTGCTGGGATTTATAGTTCACCTACAATCAAAGAGCATTCTGAACCCCACCAATGATGGAATTGAACCAAACTTGGCACACAGTTCTCCCATGACCAACAGAAAATACTGGAAGGGTTTGGTGGGCAGTGTCCTTTGGTTTTGGAGTTGTAGTTCACCTACATCCAGAGATCACTGTGGACTCAAACAATGATGGATCTGGACCAAACTCTACACGAATACTCAATATGCCCAAATGTGAACACTGTGGAGTTTGGGGAAATAGAATCTTGACATTTGGGAGTTGTAGTTGGTGGGATTTATAGTTCACCTACAATCAAAGAGCATTCTGAATCCCACCAACAATAGAATTGGGCCGAACCCCCCACAGAGAACCCCCATGTGGGCCACAGCAACGTGTGGCAGTGGACAGCTAGTGAAGAATAAAATTTGAGTAAAGCGGGTTCAAAATTTAGCAGCTGGGTTCCTGACTAAATAACTTAGATGTAGGCCAACATCTTGTAATGGTTTTTGCATCAGTCTATGATACCAGAGACCAGAATTCAAATTCCCATTTGGCCATGAAACCCATTAGGCGACCTTGAGTAAGCCGCACTCTCTTAGACTCAGAAGGCAATGGCAAACTAATTCCTAAAAAAAATATGGCACAAATAGCCGTGGAGAAACATTCATCTTAGTATCATGATAGGTGAGAAACAACTTGAAGGGACAATAAAGCCATGTTACACAAAATCCAAAGCAAATGCATTAATTCCCTGTTTACAGGGTGCAGCCTTACACAAAGTCCACATTATTCAGTACTGTCGACCTGAACTGGCAGTGGCTCTTGAGTTTAGATAGACAACGAATGAGTATGTCCAAGGTGCGTTTATGCACAATTCAAAGTGCTAATAATGACCTTTGAAGTCCTAAATGGCAAGTTGCCCAAGCATCAGAGGAACGCATCTCATACCATTCTGAGGCTTTAACAGGAAGCTGTTTGTAGTCTTTTGTTGGAAAGACTCTACAGGAGAAAGAACCATGTTGCATTGGAAAAACCCCTAAAACCTAGTGATAACTCTATATCCTTTCATTACCATTCCTTGCCCAGGTATTTTGAAGAGAATTTAAGAGAAAACTTAATTAATTTATATTATTTTTTCTTCAACTGATTGCATTTTTGTGTGTGGTTATATTAAATTGGTTTTCTAGTTTTATGTCTACTGGCCTAAGATGACCTTTGCTGATGAAACAAGATTTTTCAACCCCCCCCCCCCTCCCGATTTTTAATATTAATACTAGGAATAACAGGAACCCCTGGTGGTACAGTGGGTTTAAGTGTGGAGCTTTTGAAAGGTCGCAGGTTTGAATCCGGGGGAGTGGCGTGAGCCACTCTCAGCCCCAGCTTCCACCAACCTAGCACTTTGAAAACATGCAAATGAGAGTAGATCAATAGGTACTGCTCCGGCGGGAAGGTAACAGTGCTCCATGCAGTCATGCTGGCCACCTGACCTTGGAGGTGTCTATGGACAACGCCGGCTCTTTGGCTTAGAAATGGAGATGAGCACCACACCCCAGAGTCAGACACGACTGGACTTAATGTCAGGGGAAACCTACCTTTACTACTAGGAATACAGATTTGGAAATTTTTAAGATGGCAAATACAAGTTTTGCTCTTCTCAAAGAGAATATCAAAATACTTTAGTTCTTTAATCCACCCTGGAAATATTTCTATTTAAGATTCAAACATTTAGAAAATAATACACTGTATCCTACAACAAAACATATCTAAAACAATAAACAAAGCTTCCTTAAATATGATCAGGTGTTCCCGCCCTTCATTTTCCAAGTAAACTTAATGTCATTGATAGTTACCTTTTTATACTGTGTTCTAGTACTGTGTCCTCTATATGCAGCCTGAATTAGTATTACAGCTGTCTTGACTGCCAGGAATCTTTGTCGACTTCTTTTTGCTGCTATGGTTGCTCTCCATTTTCTCTGGATTACAATCGCGGCAGCTTTCATTCTCAAAAACCTACAGGGAAACCAGAACACGAATATTGAAATTCTTCAATCTGAGCTTTAGCTTCCCAAAAATTATAATAGTTAATATTTAAAGACATTGTGCAGCATGCTATATATTACCATATCCTCTGTTGCTTAGTTCTGTGGTAACCTTGAATCACAATGGCAGCTCTTTCAACAGCTCCGCCTTCTTTTATTGTTCTGTGTCTGTGAAAACACGGTTGTGCAACCACATCTGGATTCTGTGCTGCCATCATTTCTTTGGCCAACAGTCTAGCTTTATACCCCCGAAACAAAGCCTAATGGAAGAATGTTTGGAAAGCATTACTATTATTTTAAGCTACATTCAAATCAGCTATTTTCTTTACCAATAAGTGATGAGACAACAAAGCAAAAACCAAAGAAATGGCACCTATTTATATTTATATAAGTGGAATGCCTATTTGGATAAGTCTCTTGCACTCCCAATCATCACTGAAAGCCAAACAGTATTCTCTAGCCCCATCCTAACACTGTGACAGCATTGTTTTCAAAAATATAACTAGAAAAACATTCTTTCTTCTTCCTATATCCTCAAACTTCATGGGTTTGTGAAGCAATCTAAATTCTGTCTTCACACCGGAATGAAAGAAAACAAGAGGAAAGATAACACTACATAACACAGTTTTTGTTCCTGGGCTATAAAGGTAATTTCCTAATAGACTCTGTCATAAAAAATGGAAAACATTTATGAAACTGCAAAACTTTGTTTTTGCGGAACATCCTGCAGCACATTTTGCTCTAGTTTTTCAATGACTATCTCAACCAATTCCACATAGTTTTTGACAGCTACAAAAACGGATGTTTCTGGAGTAGGAAAACTACTTTCAAACTAAGAACTTCTCAATTAAATAGGAAATAACATTTTCAAACCAGGAACAGATTTTTTCAAATTTTGTTACATAGTGTAATTTGCCTACCATCATGGATACTTCTTAGCATGGAACCTAGGGAACTTGACCAAAGAGAAAGCTGAAAATTATTATTTCCCAGCCCTCCAGAGCAAGTTCTGGGTTTGTTCTGTGAAACGATGGGATACGCACCCGGATTGTGGCGCAGCTGGCTGAGTGTCAGTTGCATTAAGATCACTCTGACCAAAGGTCATGAGTTCAAAGCCAGCCCGGGTTGGAGTGGGTTTCCAACCAATTGTGTAGCTTGTTGTCGACCTTTGCAACCCGAAAGACAGTTGCATCTGTCAAGTAGGAAAATTAGGTACCACCTTAAAGTGTGGGGAGGCTTAAATTAACTAATTTATGAGGCCATAAAAAAGGACTCCGGCAAGCACTCCAGCAAAAAGCATGCGGGGAATGCGGAAGTACTTCATCAGTGTCGCAGATGGACGATGAAAGTGACAGCTCCCCTGGCGGACAGAAAAAGTTAAATAGCCTCTGTCTATGTCTGTATATGTTGTATGTCAAAATTGGCATTGAATGTTTGCCATATATGTGTACACTGTAATCCGCCCTGAGTCCCCTGTGGGGTGAGAAGGGCGGAATATAAAAGCTGTAAATAAATAAATAAATAAAATGCTCTGCTTGATGATATCCTAACCAACACAACAGGTATTTACGGAAAACAGTTAAACTTTTCATGTTCTTAATTATATTGCTTTTTAAAGTGTGCCACCTTGTTCTCGAACTTGGCAGGCACAAATAGGATGATGATAATAATATTAATAGATTCTTGTTATCATATAAATCATCCCTTGAAATATAAATCTTTCAGAGATGAAGCACCTCCAATGAAGAGATCACAACGGTCGGTAAGGTAATCAATTTAAGAGAAAACCATCACACTTCCATTATGGTAGGATCATTCCCAGGTTAAAAAAATGGCTTTCTTGCAGTTAAAACTTTGCAGTTAGGAGCCCCCAGTGGCGCAGTGGGTTAAAGCCCTGTGTCGGCAGGACTGAAGACCGACAGGTTGCAGGTTCGAATCCAGGGAGAGGCGGATGAGCTCCCTCTATCAGTTCCAGCTACTCATGCGGGGACATGAGAGAAGCCTCCCACAAGGATGATAAAAACATCAAATCATCCGGGCGTCCCCTGGGCAACGTCCTTGCAGACGGGCAACGTCCTTGCAGGCCAATACTCTCACAACAGAAGCGACTTGCAGTTTCTCAAGTCGCTCCTGACACGACAAAAAAAATAAAATCTTTCAGCTTTTGTGAGATTGATGGATCCACCCCCCTCCCGAAGAATAAGTCCTCCACAACACCTCCATGTACAGTATCGGATGAATGCTATATGAAGGAATATTCATTTTCCTCCACAGCAAAGAGAAATCCCTCTAATTATTTGTCCTCACAGGTGAGGATAATATAGGGCAGGGCTCCTCAAACTTTTTAAACAGAGGGCCAGGTCGCAGTCCCTCAAATTGTTGGAGGGCCAGATTATAATTAGAAAAAAACATGAATTCCTATGCACACTGTACATATCTTATTTGTAGTGCAAAAAAAAAGAACCCACTTAAACAATACAATAATTAAAATGAAGAACAATTTTAACAAATATAAACTTATTAGTATTTCAATGGGAAGTGCAGGCCTGCTTTTGGCTAATGAGATAGGATTGTTGTTGTTTGCTTTCAAGTCATTTCAGACTTGGTTGACCATGAGCGAGGACTGGGTAAATGACCTTGGAGGGCCATATCCGGCCCCCGGGCCTTAGTTTTAGGATCCCTGAAATAGGGTGTGCTTATACTGCTGAATTAATAGTTTGACACAGCTTTAACTGCCATAATTCAATTCTATTCAATCCTGAGATTTGAATTTTGGCAAAAACACCAATACACTTGCCCCTCCCCCCACCCAAAAAAAGCTAACAACCCCGTAAAACTACAGCTCTCATAATTCCAAAGCATTGAGCCATGGCAGTTAAAGTGATGTGAATATTTATACCATCTCCCTGCATTCAAAGTCAAGTATTTGAATCTGTACTCCCACCTGCTTTCAAGTTTAGTGTTCTTTACCTGAATTTTTATTATACTTCTTTTCATTCTGTGAAGCCTTTGGCGTTCAAGGAAGCCCCGAATAGCCGCTTGCAGAACTATGATATTCTTCAGAGTTTGTAGATAAGCTGCTCTCTCATATTTCATAGTCAAGTAAGATTGGTGATACTGTTGTGTTAAAAGTGCAGCCTCCCAATGTTTCTGATACTGTACTATATGCATCCTCCGCAATATCAGAGCTTCAGTGGAAAGCTGATCTGTCTGTGTAACCTTACAAAGAGATTGAATCTTTGTAGCATGCACCCTCTTTGCCTTTCTGCGTCCTATTGCACCACGATAGGTGGACTGGATAGTTATCACAGCCCAGCATATTGACTTGTAATGTTTGCGTTGCACGTGCATGCGATAAAAAGACTGAATGACAATGGCCGAACTATGCATGGCTTTCAGTTCTTGTCGTGTTCTCACACCTCTGTAAGCAGCCTGTAGAACTATAGCAGATCTCCGAATAGCCAGGTATGCTTTTTGCTGATGTTTCCCTTTTAGGTAAGATCGGTAGTAATTCTGTATGGTGACAGCTGCCTTTCTCAGCCTCTGGTATGAGAGTCTAGTTCTATGCATTCTGAATGATGCCTGGATCACCCTTGCTGCAAAATGCATGCACTCAACTTCCTTCCTTACTCTAAATCCTCTATAGAAAGATTGGATGCAAACTGCTGCACTAACAGAATTGCATTCTTGGGTCTGTCTCCTTGCTAAAATCAATGCTCTGTACTGTCTCTGAAGGAGTATAGTAGCTGCTCTTAGAGTGAGATACTTTCTACGTTCTCTCTGCATTTTAAAACTTCGCTGAAGTACAACAGCAGCTTCTTGTCGCCTTTTTTGATGTTGTCTGGCCTTCATCCTGCGAAAAGCTTTCTGAATGCAAATGGTGGCTCTCCTAACACAGAAATATTGCTGGATTGCAGTTTTGCAGAGTTTGTTGGCTCTGACTCTTCTCTGAATAACTCTGGCTGCCCACTGCAGCTTTCTGTAGTAACACTGTTGTGTATATTTTCGGTAATTACTCTGTATAATTGTTGCAGCACTGTGCTGCTTCTTCAAGAGAAGTCGTGATTTCATACCTCTGTAGGCAGCTTGAAGGACTAAGACAGACTGGTGCTGTTTTAAGTACAGTTCTCTCACATCTTTAGTCTTCCTGTATGCTCTATAATACTGTTGTATTGTAATGCAAGCAAGCCTCAGAGCTTGATACTGAGTGTAAGATATGTGCATTCGAAAAGCTGCCTGGATAACAGTAGCAGAGGCATGCATTTGTTTCACTAACTTCCTGGCTTGCTGACCTCGGAAGGCAGACTGCATTTTGACAACAGCTTTACAGAGATGGAGATACTCTTTGCGTTGCTGTTTTGACAGCAGTGTGGCTCTGAATCTCCTCTGAATTGTCACAGCGGCGGCCTTAAGAGACAGAAAACATTGCCTCTGTCGAAAAGTTCTAAATCTCCTTTGAATGACAGTGGCAGCCATATGCATCCTTTTCAAATGGAGCCTTACTTTCATGCCTCGAAATCCCGACTGGATTCGAAGGACAGATATTTTCACTTGCATGTATTTGTGCACCTCAGCATTTCGATCTTTGCAACCACGATACCACTGCTGAATCAGTTTTGCTGCTGCAATCAACGTTTGGAAAGATTTCCGTTGCCTATACATTCGATAAAATGACTGAAGAGAAGTAGCAGAATGGTGCAGAGTTTTCAGCTCCTGCCTAACTTTCATACTTCTGTAGGCAGCCTGAAGGATGATACAGGACTTTCTTAACTCCAGATATTTCTCTCGTTCTTTTCTTCCTGTGAAAAAAGCTCTGTATCTTCTCTGAATTACAGTAGCTGACAGTTTCATAGCTGAATACTTAACATGACACTGATGCATCCTAAACGTAGCTTGGATACAAACCGCTGCTTGATGTAGGCGTTTCAGCTTTTGCCTTGCTCTCACACCTCTGTAAATTGCTTGGATTTTAATAGTTGCTTCTTTCAGAGCAAGGTATTCCTGCCTTTGTCTGTGAGCCAGAACAACAAACCGGTGCCTTCTCTGAATTATGACAGCAGCTCCTCTCAAACGTTTAAAGTTTCGATGACTGACATGTGTCCTATAGAAGCATTGGATGATTCCAGCAGCCTGGTGTTGTTTTTGAATTTGTCTCCTGACAAGACTCCCTCTCCAAGCTGCTTGAAGCTGAATGATCTTGTTACGAAGCACTATGTATTCCTGCTGTTGCTTTTTGCTTGACATTTTGGCCCTGTAATGTTGCTGTAGTATGAGAACAGCATTTCTCAAGATCCTGTATCTTTTCAGGGCCCTGTGCCTCCTAAATGTAGACTGTATAACGACAGCAGCAGCATGCTGCTCTTTCAACCATTTTCTGACTTGCCAGCCACGTACTACTGCTTGCAAGAAAGTCACAGCTGCTTTTGTCTTCAGAAACTGCCTTCTGGTTTTAGAGGCCCTATATCCTTTCTGAATCACACAGGAAGCTTGAATCAAGGCTTGGTATTTCTTTTTAGCAGTGTAAGCCCTGAATGCAGCCTGGATCTTCATAGCAGCTATATTTTGGTGTCGAAGCATCTTACGTAGTCTATAACCCCTATAGGCTGCTTGTAAACACACAGCTGCCTTTGTAGCTTCTAAGAATTTCCGCCTTGGAGAGGTTTTCTTTCTGTAGGTACGGTAAAATCTCTGAATAACTATAGCAGCACTAGACATCCTTAGGAAAAATTTCCTTTGTTTCTTCATTCTGTACCAAGACTGAAGGACAACAGCAGCGTCATGCTGTTTCTGAAACGCAAAGGGGATGGGGAAGAAAGGAAATCAGTTATTACACCACATGTCTAAAGCAACAAAATCATAAGAATCATGCAAAGTACAACAACCACTATTAGAATGATTTAGAAAGCAAGAATCCAATTTTTGTGTTGATGTAGGTTTTTCGGGCTATATGGCCATGTTCTAGAAGCATTCTCTCCTGACATTTCGCCTGCATCTATGGCAAGCATCCTCAGAGGTTGGAGGTTGTGACCTCACAATTTCTGAGGATGCTTGCCGTAGATGCAGGAGAAACGTCAGGAGAGAATGTTACTAGAACATGGCCATATAGCCCGAAAAACCTACAACACCCCAGTGATTCCAGCCATGAAAGCCTTCAACAATAAATCCAATTTTTAAAAAAAATCTCTTGGAACAGCAATGCCAAATCTCCCTGCAATTTCAGGTAGCTGAGAAATTCAGATACTTTGATATAGCAATCTCCTATGAAGCCACATCATGTGTACTTTGGCCACATCATGAGAAGGAAGGAAAGCTTAGAGAAGACAATGATGCTGGGGAAAATGGAAGGAAAAAGGAAGAGGGGCCGACCAAGGGCAAGATGGATGGATAGTATCCTTGAAGTGACTGGATTGACCTTGAAGGAGCTGGGGGTGGTGACGACCGACAGGGAGCTCTGGCGTGGACTGGTCCATGAAGTCACGAAGAGTCGGAAACGACTGAACGAATGAACAACATGAACCCAATCATACCTGGAGAACCTCACGAACTGCTTTTTCAGTTTCCTCCTGTTTTGATTTTTTTAATTTCCGAAGTTCCATCTGAGCCAAACATCTTCTCCAGTATTTCTGAAGTACAACTGTTGCATTCAATGTTTGCTGCTTGATCTGTGAAGAGAAAATATTTCACAATATTGAACACAAATAATAATAATAATCTTTGTTTATACCCCGCCACCATCTCCCCGATGGGGACTCAGAGCGGCTTACATAGGTCCAACCCGGACAACATAATACAGCAATAAAATCAAAGCATATACAACAGGCAACAACAACATTATCAAAATGACATTAAAATAATAATAATAATAATAATAATAATAATTCCAATAGACACAATCACGATAGAGAAGGCAATGGGTGGGCCACATATTCCGAATAAAAAACAATAAATTATGATGAGATAAATTAGGAGCAGGACGTTTAAATGGAACTCATAAAACACAGAGTTGTGGGGCAGAACATCCTATTTGGATGGCACAAACTCCATTAACCGAAAATGTTGAGTGGGTGTAAAATATCATGTTGTGCACCTACTCGCCAAAGGCTCAGTGGAAAAGCCAAGTTTTGAGGTTCTTGTTAAATGTTTCCAGTGAAGGGGCTTTCCTAATCTCCCCAGGTAAAGAGTTCTAAAGTCGGGGGGCCACAGAAGAGAAGGCTCTCTCCTTTGTGCCCACAAGACGAGCTTGGTAGAGGCGAAAGGAGGACCTCCACTGAGGAACGAAAGGCCCGGGTTGATACGTGGAACGAACACCGCTTTCATCTCCTGTAGATTCAATTTCTGTTTACAATTGTCAACAAAATGGAGTACCTGAGCAAGTTTTATTTTCCTTCGATGTTCCCTCCAAGTAGACTGAATCAGCCGGGCTGCCCGAATCTCCTTAGAAAGTTCTAGAAGTCGTGAACACAGAAACGACAAATAAATGATGACTACCTAAAAGAGAAAACATTAGATATACAAACTTAGTAGGCGCTTACATAACAAAACCATTTTAAAATTTATAAACACAATTGATTACCTTTTCATCAGGGATCGTATTAGACATGTCTGAATGGTGAATCATTTCTGGAACGCCACCAAGATGAGAAACTGCAGCATTGATCAGTTGGAAGTTTTTCTTCTCATTGTCAAGTAGCTCTTTATAAAGCACTGAAGTACTGAGAGCTGTATACGAAAGGAAACAAAAGACTGGAGGTTGTGAATCTGATACAAGTTTCAAGTATTTTCTATTTGCTTATAGGATCTTAATGAACTCGCAACCTGGGGATCACAACCAGATACAGTGAAGACATCTGCCCTTGCGCTATGCTACTCTGCTGCTGAGTACGCATGCCCAGTGTGGAACACATCTCACCACGCTAATACAGTGGATGTGGCTCTTAATGAGACATGCCGCATTATCACAGGGTGTCTGTGCCCCACACCACTGGAGAAATTACACTGCTTAGCCGGTATTGCACCACCTGACATCCACCGGGAAGTAGCAGCCAATAGTGAAAGGACCAAGGCAGAGACATCTCCAGCTCATCCCTTGTTTGGGTATCAGCCAGCACGTCAACGACTTAAATCAAGAAATAGTTTTCTTAGATCTACAGAGACACTCGCTGGAACACCCCAGCAAGCGAGAGTCCAAAAGTGGCAGGGCCAAACCCAGCACCTCAATCCATGGGTGATACCAGATGAGAGACTCCCCCCTGGGCACACAGAAGACTGGGCGACTTGGAAGGCGCTGAACAGACTGCGCTCTGGCACCACGAGATGCAGAGCCAATCTTAAGAAATGGGGCTACAAAGTGGAATCCACGACATGCGAGTGTGGAGAAGAGCAAACCACTGACCACCTGCTGCAATGCAACCTGAGCCCTGCCACATGCACAATGGAGGACCTTCTTGCGGCAACGCCAGAGGCACTCCAAGTGGCCAGATACTGGTCAAAGGACATTTAATCAGCTACCAAGTTTGCAAAATTTGTGGGGTTTTTTTATCTGTTTGTTTGTTTTGTTCTGTTAGAAATGTAATACAATGTTCTGGTTGCGGATGACACGATAAATAAATAAATAAATAAATAAATGAACTCACTTTGGTCAAAATGTTCATTTAGTAGAGTTAGAGAAGCATCAGACTCTGATGATGAATTCAGTGCAACTGTACCATTTCTAGTGCATTCTACTGTTTGAGTCGTGTGCTGACATAGAGATTCCAAAGGCACATGGCATGGATGATAATGATGAATTAGATAACATAGAACCCTTCCATCTGAGAAAGATACTGTGAAGTTTTCTACCTAATTTGAAAAGAAAGAGTAAATGAGAACTGTGGAAATACCTGCTGTCAATGGCAGTTGTAGAAGTGTTGCATCAGATGGACCAGAAGTGGTCTGACTGAATCGGGGGAAGAGGGTAGAACTTCCCTGCGGTTGTGAAGACTTTGCTGAGAAAGTCATCCTTCATTCTCTCTATAACTGATAATTATCAGGCTTTCTCTAACACACCACTCCTGGGCAGGTATTGGAGCATGTAGTGACCACCCAGCTCTAGAGGTTCCTGGGCTGATTATGGAAGAGAGACCACTTTGGTCATCTTGATCCACACAGGGAATTGGACAGTCTATCCTTGCTAGACCTCTCAATGGCATCCAATACCACGGAATGGTTCATTTTTCTCAGCCACTATTGAGAAAGGACTTGGAGGTGCTGTTTTGCATGGCTTTTTTCTTTCTTGGAAGGGTAAACTCAGAACATCACGCTTGGGAACTTTGGTTATTGGCCTGTGGGGTCCCTTGGGGTTATATTTTGTCCTTGCGCTATTTAATATATACATCAAATTGGTGGGAGAGGTTCAGAGTTTTGACAAAATATCTGGAGCCCCCGGTAGCACAATTGGTGCTCGTAGGACTGTTGAACAACAGGTCAGTGGTTTGAATCTGGGGAGAGCAGCTTGAGCTCCCTCTTTCAGCACTAGCTTCCCATGTGGGGACATGAGAGAAGCCTCCCACAAGGATGGTAAACATCTGGGCGTCCCCTGGGCAACGTCCTTGCAGACTGCCAATTCTCTCACACCAGAAGCAACTTGCAGTTTCTCAAGTCACTCCTGACACTAATAATAATAATCTGGTGTGGAAGTGGGAGTATTTCGACCACTTTTTGGACCAAATCTAGACCAATGTATGCTAACAAAAACATGTGTTCAAGAAATAAAGCAAAAGAAAATTCATTGCCCAACTTACCGGGCAAGGCCTGTTGCGGTGGGGGGTGCCCTCCCTCTAGCAGGGGCTTCTTTCCCAGAAGCCCCTACATGGCAGGAAGCTTCCCGCCACTGGGGTCAGCTGGCCAACCAGCGGCCAGCCCCACCCAGCTCCTGGCATTGGCCAGGGGCTGGTTGCACCCTGTGCCCAGCAGCCTTAAATAGGCTGCGCAGGGCCGAGCAGGTACCAGGCCTGTTTCGAGTTGTCCTCCCACCCACCCTGCATGTTCATGTTTTTGTTCAGTGTTGCAGTTGTTGTCATTATCTGTTCGTCACAACTCCGGTTGGCATGTGGCATGGGCTCTGGATCTGGTTCTGCCCCTCCCCCATTGGCAGGGAGGGAAATCCGGCGGTTGCCAGGGGTGCCGTGTCTTGTGGCCCGGTATTGTGCCGGGGGGCCCCTGTTGGACTCATCAGGTATCGGTCTGCAGCGGGCTGATCGATCTTGATCCAGAACCCATGCCTAGCAGCCAACCCTGTGTTCCTGTAATTAATAAAGTAAGTTGTGGCCATTTTTACTCCAGCTATGTGTCCGTGTCATCTCTGGTTCTGCGGGCGGGAGGAGTGTTGCCCATCCACACGCAAATGACTTCAACTCAGTTATTGTTGCTACTCCTAGTTTTTAAATACCCCTGCAACTTCGCAAAATATGGTGAAAAATTCTCCATGTCCCTTAGTAGACATTTGGGAGATTTATTTTCTATATATTTTTCTTTCAGGAATGAATACAGAGGAAGGGGCAACTCCCCAAAGTCTTGTGAAGGGCAAATGTAATCCCAGTATCCTTTCAAAATTGTTCACCTCTGTTCTATAATGAATACTGTATAAAGTCCCTTGTTGGGACAATATTGTTAAATGGATGTAAACATTTCACAGGCACTAGAGGAGGTAAGATTATGAATTCCCATTTTACAAAATGTACCAAAACTATCTCTAAAGCAAATGACAAAAACTGAGAATGGCAAGCATATCCCAATTATTTCCTTTAACGTTAGTTAACTGGAGTGAAAATAAGGGGATCAAAACAGCCACCCTGATGAAAACTATCTTATGGGAATAGAAGAAAATGCCATAGACCAAACTGAAACATTTAGCCAATTAGTTTACTATGTTGTTTTACACTGACTGGCAGAAAAATTAACTAAGTAAAGGTAGTATGTATTCTGTTATATAACCTGCCAGCAAAATAATTCAGATAGACTGCTAGAACCAATCAGCCCAATAGTAGCACAGTGTATATTAGATTTCCAGGAGGCCTATCCAAACCATATGTTTACTCATATTCTGCCATATCTTGCTTTACAGAATGCATTTCAAAAGCGTATCAAAAGCAGTTAGAAAGAAAAGCAACCAATAACTTATCACATAATTTCAACATCAATAACATGTAAGAAAGCAGACATGATGTCTCGTAAGCAGTCTTTGTAATAGTATGTAACCTTGCATACTATTTTAAGTATTTAAATTTTAACTTCATAGAAAAGTAACACAACACATATATAATTTTGAAAGGTTTGAATATGCCTTTCCGGCAAGATCACTTCTGTTAATTAATGTGAGCTTCTATCAACCAATGAACTGAAATGTTGGCCTATCAAATTTTCCCAAATACACTTTTCAAACATAGAAAAGAACAGCTGCAATGTTTTAGAAATTGTTTAAGATGGTAAATTTCTTACCTTGACATTATAAAAACTACAGACAGCATTCACCCAATCCATCAACAATTTTACATTTTCGCTGCAGTTTTCAGATGAATAAAAGTTACTTTCCTTTCTCACATCATTACAAACAGAAAACTCTCCAGATGCTGTCTTTATTTTTGAGATATACAAGTTCTTTAAGAAATTGATTTCTTCTTTTACTTGATCCTTGTCAAGGGAAACATTCACCTAAGAAAGAACACAGAGATATTTTAAAAACACTTGTCTTATGCAGGAATTTTTATTGTTATTTTCAGAAAGTAAAACTTACATATTTAATATTTTTTAATTAGATGACTCGCTAAGTATTGTAGCCCATAGTTCAGATTAATATTTTCAAAACAGCTTTAAAATCTTTCAAGGTCTTAACACCATCACATATTCCTACTATAGCAGATTCACTAAACTGACAAAACAAAATACTGACTTATTAACTTTCTATTAATTCAGTGGGTTTGCTCTAGTTAGGACTAAAATTGAAAAAGTTATATTTAATTGCTACCACTGAATAGTGCTAATATACGAGGAGTATTTTTAAAATACGGTTCGTTTTGTTGTAGACACCAGTAGTTCGCGCGCATACCGCAACGAGCGCATGCATCGTGTATCGGCATGCCTCGGGAACAACTGTGCCCAGTTGTTCTCTGTAGCTAACCTGTATGGTTCTGTTCTGTGCTTTAAAAATGTTTAAGACTATCAACTCACCCTCCGCATGTGAGGTTCGCTCAGTGATACGGTTTTTGTCAGCAAGGAACCTGCCTGCTGCAGAAATTCATCGACAGATTTGTGAAGTGTACGGTGATACTGTTATGAGTGAAAGCAAAGTGCGTAAGTGGGTATGACAATTCAAAGATGGCCGCAACAACATCCATAATGAGGACCGCTCCAGTCGCCCTTCTTTGATTACAGACGATTTGGTGACTTCAGTTGAAGCGAGGATTCGTGAGAACAGGCGCTTCACAATAACAGGTCTCTTAAACGAATTCCTGACGTGTCGAGATCAGTGCTTTACAACATTGTTTCTGAACACCTAAAGTTTAGGAAACTGTGCTCCTATTGGGTCCCGAAACTCCTAACAGAGGATCACAAAAACCAAAGTGTGCAATCAAATCAAATCGTCTTTAATCAAAGAAGGGCGACCGGAGCGGTCCTCATCATGGACGTTGTCACGGCCATCTTTGAATTGTCGTACCCAGTTATGCACTTTGCTTTCACTCATAACAGTATCACCGTACACTTCACAAATCTGTCGATGAATTTCTGCAGCAGGCAGATTCCTTGTTGACAAAAACCGTATCACTGAGCGAACCCTCACATGCGGAGGGTGAGTTGCTAGTCTTAAACATTTTAAAGCACAGAACAGAACCGTACAGGTTAGCTACAGAGCAGAAAATGAGCACAGTTGTTCCTGAGGCATGCCGGTACACGAAGCATGCACTCGTTGCGGTATGCGCGCGAACTACTACAACAAAACAGACCTTACTTAAAAAATATCCCTCGTACCTTTGAAATTTAGAGTTCTGAGACAATTCTATAATAATTTGACAAAATTATATTCACTCCTATAATCAAAATAGAACGGTCAATAAGGCCTCCTTGAATGATTCTTTCTTACTATATTTTGTTTTATCAAAGCACAAAACAATTTTCCAAGTGGATAGAAGACCAAACTATTTATTATGTTGAAATGATAAGAATATGTTAATAAATATACATGCATATTTTCAAGGTTCAGCTCATTCACATCTTTTTCTAGAAATACAAGTTCTTCATGCTGCATATTATATTCTACAATTGCTAATTATAACTGCATAGCTGTTGTCTCTCAGTTATATGACATACAGAGTTCCATGCAGCAAGGTAAAACAGGATTGCATTAACTGACCTTGCTGTACGTTCACTGAGTATATAGCCTCACTGACTTTTCATCCAATGCACAGCCATATTATAATACACATTTTGATTTCTTTTAACCATTTTTAATCATCTGACATTTAACACTATCATTAGATTTAGGCCCCATCTACTCTGCCATATACAATCCAGATTATTTGGGCAGGATTATATGGCAGTGTAAACTCATAATCCAGTTCTAAGAAGACAACCTGGGTTATCTGCTTTGATAATCTAGATCATATGGTAATGTAGATCCAGCCTTAGAATCAAAATTTTAACTCATTTTTAAACTATGTAAGAAATCTCTTCTCATCTCCAGAGAAAGATGGGCTATAAATATATTCATATTTTATAATCATGTTGAAAACAATGCATTTTTGATGTTACGATTATAACCATTCCAACACATATACTAAACATTCTCAATATTATCCCAATATTTTCATTCAATACCTGAAAAGCAAATACTATTTTCCAGAGTAAAGCAAATGTTTTCTCTCTATGCCGACCCACGATATCCTTTGCATCAATTGTTACACCTAGAAATTAATCAAAGGGATTATTCATTAGCAACAGCCCTATACTTTTAAAAATAATTGATCATGAAATTACTTTTCAGTTCGTACCATATTCATCATTCAGATTAATCCCACGATCTTTTAATACTTGAAGAACAAGGTTTACATTATAGAGTTTCTGATGTCTGCTTATTGCCGGAATTCTTAATTTTTTGGAAAGACTCCAGTCTGATGACAGAAGTTCCAACACTCTCCTAAAAATATAGGAAAATCACACGTTAAAAGTAATCGGTTTCATCTATTTTAATCCTAAAAAGAATAACATTTACCAAAACTTACACAAGACGAATGCCACATTGCAAATCTGTGGCAATATTTGTTACAGCGAAGTCAAATTCATCCAGTGGAGTTTGTACATGGCTGACTGCTAAACCCAGAAATCCCAGATGGCGAGAAAGGTCACCTTCTCCACTTAGAAAATCTCTGGAAAATGCAAGCAACATCTCTTTGCTAGCCTACAGAAAAAGAAATGAATCACTGTTTAAATGCAGAGCTACAATCCAATAAGGCATCTAAAGAAACACTCCAAACATTAGAATACTATGTATATAAAAGCTCTCACCTCTCCAGTTTATTTTTAACTTAATCACAACTATAGGTAACAATCTCTCTCTATAAAAATGCTCTGTGCGTAATGAGTGACATCATAACTCAAAATCCGCTGGACAAATTGGCGCCAAATTTGGCCACCAGATACCTACTAACCCAAGGAGTGACCATCACTCAAAAAAAATTGATTTTGTCTTTTGGGAGTTATAGTTGCTGGGATTTATAGTTCATCTACAATCAAAGAGCATTCTGAATCCCACTAACAATGGAATTGAACCAAACTTGGCACACAGGACTCCCATAACCAACAGAAAATACTAATGATGGGCATTGACCTTGAGTTCTGGAGTTGTAGTTCACCTACATCCAGAGAGCACTGTGGATTCAAACAATGATAGATCTGGACCAAACATAGCATAAATACTCCATATGCCTAAATATGAACACAGATGGAGTTTGAGGGAAATAGACCTTGACATTTGGGAGTTGTAGTTATTGGGATTTATAGTTCACCTACAATCAAAAAGCATTCTGAACCCCACCAACAATAGAATTGGGGAAAACTTCCCACACAGAACCCCCATGATCAACAGAAAATAATATATTTTCTGGTGTTCTTTGGCAACCCTTCCGACACCCCCTCACGACCCCTCAGGGGTCCCAATGCTGTTTTAAGGCCATCCGGTCCAACTCCCTTCACCAGGGCAAGAAAACATAATAAAAGCCCTCCTGACAAAGAGCCATCCAGCTATAGATATAAATAGATTAAATATATATTATTCACACACAGAGACACACACACATATTTATGTATATGTCAGGTATAGATTTGAAAGGGGCCCCTAATGAAGGACAATTATATGTTTCATGTTCCAGAGTAGACAAACCAGATAATCTCTACATCAACACTGATAAAGAAACAAGAAATACTGTTTACCCACAAGCATAAAGAAATTGCATATATTAGAAACCAACAGTTTCTCATTACTTTATTTTCCAGATCACCAGACTGAACCACAGCAATGCGTGGCAGGGGACGGCTAGTCATTTATAACAGTGTATTAATAATAATATTTCTGGTTAAACTTCACAAGTAATGAAATAGATTATCAACTGCCTATTCCTCAATTAATTAGCATGCAATAATCAACTTCTCATCACTACTTAAAATTCTTCTCCCAATATAGGAAAAAGTGTAATCTGCATTTTCCCCTTCTCTGATAATTTCTAATCTATTCTGTTTTATACAACACTGGCTGTCATTAATTATAGCACACTCCATCAGATGTTTACACACAGGTGAAGTTTAATCCTCTAAAAACAGTGGTTCTCAACCTGTGGAGGACTGCAGTTTGAAGATGCTTGTGTTAGACCAGTGGTTCTCAGCTTGTGGATCCCCAGATGTTTTGGCCTTCAACTCCCAGAAACCCTAACAGCTGGTAAACTGGCTGGGATTTCTGAGAGTTGTAGGCCAAAACAATTGGGGATCCACAGGTTGAGAACCACTACTCTAAAACATGGTTAAATAACAAAGTGCCACAAAATGCCTTATTGCTTTTGTTATACAACATACTAGCTTGATTACAATTATCCTATTTTGAACAAGTGTAACATAAACAAGACTTTAAAAAAGGAATACCTTGAATTCTGCATTTTTGCAGAAGAGGCAAGGATCATGATCAATAATTCGAGACCTTTTGGCATGATCAAGAAAGCAAACAAGTAGCAGCATTTTTTTCAGAGTAAATCTGGACAATGCTTCTTCATGACCTGTTAAGAGTTCATACATTAATAGATTTTATGCAAAGATACATGCTATAACAATAACTTATGTTAGAGTAAATAAAGGCAGTTACCCTCTCTATAAAGGTGAGGCACAGTTGGGTGCCTGTATTCAGCGGCAATGTCTGGATTCCACAACAAGCGATTGAGTATAAACATTGCCAAACCCATTACATCACTATTACTTTCCAAAGCAATCAGTTCACCATAAATAGTCTGTGAAAATGGGAGCAAAAATACAATTTCAAAAATACTAAGCACCCACAAGAATACAAGCAAAATCATATTCAAAAAATAACAACATAGAATCATAGAGTTGGAAGAGATCTCCAACTGCGCCACCGGGATTGTGGCGCAGCTGGCTGTCAGCTGCATTAAGATCACTCTGACCAAAAGGTCATGAGTTCGAAGCCAGCCCGGGTTGGAGTGGGTTTCCAACCAATTGTGTAGCCTGTTGTCGACCTTTGCAACCCGAAAGACAGTTGCATCTGTCAAGTAGGAAAATAAGGTACCATCTTAAAGTGTGGGAAGGCTAAATTAATTAATTTATGAGGCCATAAAGAAGATTCCAGCAAAGCATTCCAGCGGGGAAGCATGCGGGGAATGCGGAAGTGCTTCATCAGCATCGCAGATGGATGATGAAAGCGACAGCTCTCCTGGCCAGAAAAAGCTCCCCGGCCAGAAAAAGTTAAATAGCCTCTGTGTATGTCTGTATATGTTTGTATGTCAAAAATTGGCATCGAATGTTTGCCATATATGTGTACACTGTAATCCGCCCTGAGTCCCCTGCAGGGACTGTAAATAAAAGCTGTAAATAAATAAATAAATAAATAAATAAATCTATCTCGTGGGACATCCAATCCAACCCCTGCAAAAAAGCAGGAAAATCGTATTCAAAGCACTCCTGACAGATGGCCATCCAGCTTATTTAAAAGCTTCCAACGAAGGAGCCTCCACCACACTCTGGGGCAGAGAGTTCCACTGCTAAACAGTTCTCACAGTTAGGAAGTTCTTCCTAATGTTCATGTGGAATCTCCTTTCCTGTATTTTGAAGCCATTGTTCCATGTCCTAATTTCCAGGGCAGCAGAAAACAAGCCTGCACCCTCCTCCTATGACTTCCCCTCACATGTCTCCTCTCAAGCCTTCTCTTCTGCAGGTTAAATATGTCCAGCTCTTTAAGCAGCTCCTCATAGGGCTTGTTCTCCAGACCCCTGATCATTTTAGTTGCCCTCCTCTGGGCACATTCCAGCTTGTCAACATCTCCCTTCAACTGCAGTGCCCAGAATTGGATACAATATTATAATACACCTATACCTCATAAATTAAGGCAATGTGCTCCTTCCTCAACAAATGTGGTCCCAGAGACAGAAAGAACATAGAAAGAATAGGGATACGTTCTCACATCAGATAAACAGTCCTATGTTTTTAAGCAACATTGTATTCAAAATGGACAATATGCGCATGTGGAATGAAACTATCCAGTCAGGTAAACATCTGAACCTTCTAAAGAGCACCTGAAAGCTTCTTTCTTCCAGAGTATATTACTCAAAGAATATTTTAACATTAGAAAAGTATACTTACTTCCAGGCCGATACGTAGCCATAGTGGGTTGTAGCATAAAAGCCAATTGAGGATTTTCTGCCGTTCTCCTACCATGAACACAGAAAGAATAATATGAGAAAACAGAAAGGATAGTATAAATGTACTGTTTTTAAAGCTATAATGAACATCTACCCATTTTAAATACACACACACACATACACTTATAACCCTCACCATGTTATATACACAATATAACATTGCAACTTATTTTTTTCTAAACAGAAGTTACAAAATATGTAGCAGTGTAACATTCTCACCAATATCCTTCCACAGATGTCTGTCCTTTCGAACCAGCAAGCGTTTTGCTTCAATTTCAATTTCCAGTCTTTTTATTGCTTTCACCATCGCATCACAGGTAAACAAGCGACAAGCTGACCTACGAAGTCTATTTAATTTGCACCGGGCAGTATAGGCTCTTAGGGATGCTTCCTCTTTTGTTGGTGCTTTAGGAACACTGGATTTATGATTACACTCTGTTCCCAATGTGAGAGATGCTGCATTGACTGATAGAGAAAGAGCAATTGCATGTGTTTAAATAGTACATTTCATCACCTTAGAACAGTGTTTCTCAACCTTTCTAATGCCGTGACCCCTAAATAAAGTTCCTCATGTTGTGGTGACCCCCAACCATATTTTCGTTGCTACTTCATAATAGTAATTTTGCTACTCTTATGAAGCATAATGGAAATATCTGATATGCAGGATGTATTTTCATTGTTACAAATTGATCACAAAAACAATATGCTCGGGGAGTATGYACAATGGATGATGGGATTTGCAGTACCTTCAACTGATTCAGCTCTGACTTCCACAGACCACTGAGACCCTCACAAATTATAGACKTMGAACAAACTTGGCACACAGAACCCCAATGATCAACAGAAAATACTGGAGGGGGTTGGGAGGAATAGATAATGATTTTTGGGAGATGTAGTTCACCTACATACGGAGAGCACTGTGAACCCAAACGACTGTGCATTTGGACCAAACTTGGTACAAATACTCAATATGCCCAAATATGAACACTGGTGGAGTTTGGGGAAAACAGATCTTGACATGTGGAAGTTGCAGTTGCTGGGATGTATAGTTCCCTTGCCATCAAAGAGCATTCTGAACTCCAACAACAATGGAATTGAACCAAACTTGGCACACAGACCTCCCATTACCAACAGAAAATACTGGAGAGGTTTGGGGAAAATAGACCTTGGCATTTGGGAGCTACTGGGATGTATACCTCCCCTGCCATCAAGGAGCATTCTGATCTCCAGCATAAATAGCAAGGGCCGGGCAGAAAGGCTGCCCGCACGACCTTGCAATTTGCGTAGCCCTCCATCTGGGCCCCAAGCCCTTCCGAGCTGGGAAAGGTGCGGGGGCTGGGCAGAGGGGCTGACCAGGAGTGCTAGCTTTTTGTCTGGTACAGGGGGTCAGCAGCCATTTTGGAGGGGGCGGAGCCAACCAAGGTAGCTCCTTGATAAGCACTTCCAGGGATGTAAGACGTACAAAGAGAGATCCCCAGCTCATTCGTGAAAGGGAAAAATTTTACTGGAAAGTTTTTAAGTACAAGAATTAGAATTGGAAGAGACAACAAGTGCCACACATTAGTCCAACTCCCTTGCCATGCAGGAACACACAATCAAAGCATTCCCAACAGATGGCTATCCAATCTGTTTAAAAACCTTGAGAAGAGACTCCACTCTGAGGTACCATATTCCACTGTTGAACACCTTTAACTATCAGAAAGTTTTTTTCCTAATGTTTAGGTAGTCTTTCTTCCTGCAGTTTGAACTCATTGCTCCATGTCTTAGTCTATGGAGCAGCAGAAAACAAATTGGACCCTTCAGAGCCCTGCACACATAACGCCTGTAAACAAGTATATACCTTCTTAAAACTTTCAGATTCTGTATAGTAATCTTACCTTGTGAAATGTCTGTTTTAACAGTAAAGTCATCAGGAGTAAGTATAAAATTCAGCCACCAAGTAAACCCTCGTTGCTGTTTCTCTTTCCAGCGTTCATCAAAAAACATGTTCTTCGCCGCAAAAGGCATTGGATGCCTAGGAGTATCTTTTAAAATAATTACAAGTCCTATTAATTTTCTGTCTGAATCAAGCTCTCTCTTCTACAATGACACATCTTCCAACATCAGTTCAGAAAAACAAATTCATATTAGTCGCATTCAAACTGAGGTACACTGGTGGAGAAAATCAAACAATTATTTTGAGTTTTATATCTCAGGTAATAGAGTTGTTTGATTTATTGGACCCCTTCCCACTCCCCAGTAATTGTCAACTCAGATTTGTCCCTCACTGACTGTATCCTACTACAGTGATTCTCAACCTTTGGTCCTCCAAATGTCCCAGAGGCCAGTGTACAGGAATTCTGGGAACTGAAGTGCCAAACATTTGGAGGACCAAAGGTTGAGAACCTCTGTCAGAATCTGTTCTATACAGGAATGAGGAGTTTGAGAATTGATGTAATATACAGGGTGAGGCAGCATAACTTCCTTTTTTCAAAACTTAATAAAACCCATTGTATGAATCAGAATTATTTTTTTTATAATGTAGGCGCATACCTAAAGTTTTGTTTTACGTAGTTTTGAAGATCAAATTTAGTAGGTGATGTCCCCCATTCTCCATACACTGAGTAATCTGATTTCTGGCGTTTGTCATGACTCTTGCCAGCATAGCAGGGGTTATGTTGGCAATTTCTTCCTGGATGTTGGTCTTCAAATCTTGTAGGGTCCTTGGACGGTTCACATAAACACGGGATTTCAAAAACCCCATAGAAAAAAATCACGAGGGGCCAAATCTGGAGAGCGGGCCGGCCACTCCAAATTCACTCGAAAAGTAGGCCTCAACCTACAAGCAAATTGTTCATGAAATACCAAATATCTGAATTATTGTGGGTGTAATTTGCAAGCCATCCCTATACTCCCAGTCCCATTGGTACTGGGTCTGTTTTAGCAAAGGAATGGCAAATGCTTCAAATGTGGCCACATCATTTGGAAGGATATTCAGGATTGTGGAAGTGATTGAATCAGTTCAGGTCATCTATTGGTCTTCCTTAGATGGAATTGGCTTTCAATCTGTCTTAGATGACTTGTTTGTGAAGAAAATAAAGTTAGAAAATGTAAAAAAAAAAAAAAAAGTAAGCCAGAATGGCAATAGCACGCTCCTCACTGTTCCAACGCATGATAGCAATTGAACTGTCTCAGGACAAAACTTTATACTCCCGCCTCTCGAACGAGCCACTAGCGCTCCGCTATATCTTCAACCAACTGAATGGAAGTTATGCTGCCTCACCCTGTATAACTGTTTTGAAATACTGTGCCAGTATTGTGAACGACTGGAGAGAAATTGGTCATCTAGCATATTATGTACCTTCAAAGATATCTTATGAAACACTTTGTTGTTGCTGTTGTGTGGCTTCATGCCACTTCCAATTCAGAGGAACCCTTTCACGGGACCTTGTTGGATAGTTTTGTTCAGAGTGTGAGACTTATCTAAAATGACCCAGTCAATTTCAGGTCTCAGTAGGTATTCAAACCCTGGTCTTCCGAGTCACTAGTCCAACACTCAAATCATTACATCACATTGGCTCTCAAAATATATATGTTGCCAACTGTGAAATAGAATAAAGGGATCTTTTTATTTTTGAATAAAATAGTATTTTGGAAAATAGCCACATGAAGTCCTTTCACTCAGAGAAAACATGTGTATACTGTATTGCTTCAAATACAGTATGTTTTTCTTTCTCCTGGACAATGCAAAGCATCAATAATTCATTTTCACCTGTTTTTAAAGGTTTCACAAAGATCAGCTGAGGTTGTGCAATAGGAACTACTTTTCTAGTTCTTCTCGTAGTCCTGAATTTTTGAGTTAAGGAATCTGAAAATTCAAAACATAAATACTGCTCAAAACACTAGTCACAGAAGACACCAAAGTTGAAGAAATCATGCAAGTAATTCGTAATTCTGCTATCATTTTCCTCAAGGAAAAAGATTCCCACTCCCATGAGCCCATTTAATCCTTCTGTTTCTTCACGTCTATGGAAACTCTCTTCCCGCTGTTAACACAGAGCATCTCTTAAATGATTGTGCCCATGAACTTTTGTTCCTATATGAAGACACTGAGCTTTTCTCCACACACATCACTGGAGCATTGCAGCACACCCAAATACCTGGGAGTCACTCTGGACCGTGCTATGACCTACAAGAAGCACTGCCTGAATATCAAGCAAAAAGTGGGTGCTAGAAACAATATCATACGAAAGCTTACTGGCACAGCCTGGGGATCGCAACCAGACACAGTGAAGACATCCACCTTTGCGCTATGCTACTCTGCTGCTGATGAGTATGCATGCCCAGTGTGGAACACATCTCACCACACTAAAACAGTGGATGTGGCTCTTAATGAGACATGCCGCATTATCACAGGGTGTCTGCGCCCTACACCACTGGAGAAATTACACTGCTTAGCCGGTATTGCACCACCTGACATCCGCCGGGAAGTAGCAGCCAATAGTGAAAGGACCAAGGCAGAGACATCTCCAGCTCATCCCCTGTTTGGGTATCAGCCAGCACGCCAACGACTTAAATCAAGAAATAGTTTTCTAAGATCTACAGAGACACTCGCTGGAACACCTCAGCAAGCGAGAGTCCAAAAGTGGCAGGCTCAAACCCAGAGCCTCAATCAATGGCTGATAGCAGATGAGCCTCAATCAAACCCAGAGCCTCAATCAATGGCTGATAGCAGATGGGCACACAGAACACTGGGCGACTTGGAAGGCACTGAACAGACTGCGCTCTGGCACTACGAGATGCAGAGCCAATCTCAAGAAATGGGGCTACAAAGTGGAATCCACGACATGCGAGTGTGGAGAAGAGCAAACCACTGACCACCTGCTGCAATGCAACCTGAGCCCTGCCACATGCACAATGGAGGACCTTCTTGCGGCAACACCAGAGGCACTCCAAGTGGCCAGATACTGGTCAAAGGACATTTAATGAACTACCAAGCTTGCAAACTCTGTGTCTTTTGTATGTTTGTTTTGTCAAAAATGTAATACAACTGTTCGGTTGCCTGACACGATAAATAAATCCTCACACATGAATTATTTTGATGGCTATTGTAGCCAGTAAATATCTGTAGGTGCCACCTAGTTCTCTGAGAGATCCATCTTCTATCTCTGAGACAAAATGAGAAAAAAAATGTGCCTGTCAGAGAAGAAGAAAGCTCTCCTTATTCAAATCATTTTGTACAATTTGTAACAGAATATTTGTGCTGGAGAGTGAGAGTAAAGATATCAGCGGTATCAGTGAGATTTGTGTTAACACATTCAATTCTTTCTGTTTTACTCTACTTTTTCTGTTACAACTTCAAGAGAAATAATTTGATAGAAATAATACAAGGCCACTGTAACTGGACTAAACAATACCACTAGCATTTTAAAAAACATCTCAGTTAGTTTATAACATTACTATTATATGCCAAATGTAAGCTACTAATCATCCATTGTTTGGGGGAAATAATGTATTACTATATATATTGAGCATCCCTTATCCAAAATTCTGAAATATTCCAAAATGCAAAAACATCCATACAGATATCTTTGTTTTCTGAAGGTTCAATGTACATGACTTCTTTTGGGCACTTAAAAAAAACTTATCTTCAAGCTATGTGTAAGACTGTAAGTTTTATATAGCAATATTAAATGATCACTCACAAGCCGGTTTTGCTTGGAAATGAATATATTGCTTGCATCTCTGCAGCAAAGAAAGACACTACTGAATTTTTCCCACCACCACTTCCTTTTGTACACTCTTCCTGCCCATCTCCCCCCTCTTCTCGGTTTCCTTATTAGAGCTTGTTGCTTCACAAGTTCCAATACAAGGTTTCCAGCACCCTCTGCTGGCTTCAAAATGTCACAGAGAGAAAACTGAGGCAGCCAGGATGATTCAGTCAGGATGTCACGGAAGGAATTTGTGATGACTTTATGCCGTCAGAAATTGACTCATGACAATAATAATTATAATAATACAACATAAATGAATTTCATGATAAGACTTAGCTCCATTTCCAAGATATTTCATAATGCAAACACAGGCATTCCAGAATCTGAAATCCAAAATACTTCTGGTAACAAGCATTTCTGATAAAAAGACATTCAACCTGCATAATCCTATTGAGTCCAGTCCAATGACACCAACCCAAGGCAACATACCATGATAAAACATTTTCATGTATCAAAGAAAGAAAGCTAACTTACCAGTTCTCTTCTTCCGTTGTTTATCTCTGTTCACGGATTTGCAAACTGATGTTTGCAAAGCGGCCTGGTTTTCATTTTCTACACAAGCCATCATGACTCTTTTTCTTTCATCTTCATCCCCATATGCTTCATTTTCATTATTACTGTCTGTTAAATACTCTCCACTTTTTCTTTTACGGCCATGGGGCTCTATAACAGGAGGCCTTGGTAATATTTCCAGTTTCACGTTTTCTGGAACAATATCCACCGATGTCTGTAGTGCATTAGAAAGACATCGTCTAGATTTTGGATTCAGCTGTGCCTCTGCTTCTTTTCTCTTGGCCGGATCTGCCTTACATTTGGTAACAGTAGTGGAAAGTATTGGCTTTCTTTTAGGCCGTTCTTTCTGGAGACAAGAAGATTGATCTTTTTCTGTTTCTCTCAACTTGGTGGCAATTTGGTTTTCCTGAAATGTGGCACACATTCTGTCCTTTCTATCACTAAGCCCAGGTAAAAATACTGCCTGTGTCTTTCCTTTCTGTATTGGATAATCTGGACTTGACATACAAGACTTGACATCTGATGAAGGGGGCATAGATTTATGTGGCTGAATAACTACTTGATTTTCTTTTAAAAACTGATCAGGTGAAATAATTTTCCTCATACCCAGTTCTTCAGTAAATTCAGAGCTTACAAAGGAATCAGGGCTTAAAATCCTCCTGTGATTTAAAGGAATGTACAGTCTTTGTTCTGGAGTGCAAACTGACTGTGCATTAGAATATTGTTCTTCTGCTGAGCTAATATTATCTGGACCTTTCCATTTAGTTTCCACAGCATAATCACGAAATGAGACAACAGTACATGTTTCTTTTACATCCTTTAGTAAATTGTCACACGATGCTGTACCAATAACAGAATGTGTAGTTGATCTTCTCATTGAGAAAGGAGTATAAGTGGCATGCTGGTTTTCTTGCAGGACAGGATTAATTGGGGAGAGAGAGAGACTGTTTTCCAAAAGAATAAAGGAATCCTTATTAGGTGGTGTGTTGACTTTGTTCACTTCTAGGTTCTCACAGGACTGAAGTGGACTTCTCTCACCATCTCCTTTTTCAGACTTGTGAAATGTTATATTAACATTTTTAATAACGGGTGCTCTTTTCCTGCAACGTGACTGCTGCACTGGTGTTCCCTTTTTAATACTATCCCAGAGACTCCTCTGAAAATGATACAAATACAAATAATTATGAACACATGTATTAGGCACCTCAAGCTGTCTCGTCTTCTGTACGTAAAATTGCTAAGCAATATTGCCACCATTTTTCCCATCAGTCTTGGTGCAATCTTGTAATGTAAAAGCGACTAAACATAGCAATTGGCTGGAATGTGCAATGCTCTCTATGGGGCGTAACATTGCACATAACTGAATACGTGATGCCACACCACATATGTAGTTTTCTGTCGCCACTTTAATACCTGGGACATACTCTGTTTCTGTCCTTTTACAGGTGAATTTCTTCTTGACTCAATGAGGGGAAAAAGAATTTCCTTTCTAAATCCCTTTACCGCCGTGTACTGCTGCAGTTTCCCTTTTTAAATTGGCTGGGGCTTTCTTGTGAGCTGTTAAACCTTTGTGCTATATATCACAGGCTTGAGACACTCTGGTAAGCAACGAAGTAACAAAGTTTATTTATAGCTTCTGGTTCCAATGCTTTATGGTTACATTTGTGTTTTGTTACAGTCTCAAGTCTTACATTCAGTATCATTCACTCGGTTAACTTTTCCTATGAAACTCTCACTGTCTCACATCTACTAATATGTTACTTTCTTCATATACTCTTGGCTGAACTATATTCTGACTTAGGCCACACTGGCGCCTTTTTATTTTTCCTTAAACCTTGAGCTCTATTTCCCAACTGAGGTTCCTAACCGTTCCCTTTTCTTTTTTAACTGACAAACTCTAACTGCCTCTTTCAAACTTGACTCCGTCCCTTTAGAATGTTCAGTTCTGTAACTGCCATTCTGGCTCAGCGGCCATTTCAAATCCTGGCATACTCTCATCTGCAAACGACCAATCGACTTCACATATGCAAATTAATCCTGCCTTCACTATTGATGTCTCATCAATTGTTGCTACCCTATTTGAGCCAATTGTTGCTGCCCTATTTGTTGCTACCCTATTTGAGCCAATTCTTCCCTATCAACCATATTGTAACCTAGAGCTACACACCAAAAATACAACATAGATCATAAAATTCACTACACCCTCTTATTAGCAAGGCCAATTATCAGAATTCATTTAGAAATATTTGCATATGCAGCTATACTGTCTTTTTCAACACTTTTGAACAATTGGGATTACTTAGCAAGTCCAAATGGTCTTATTTCTTAAAGTCAGGAAAATATACAAGAATTTGACAAAACAAGAAAGCAGATCTATGGAAATCCTGCTGAGTCCATAACTAAAGCATACCATGGACAGACTCTTGCAGCTCCAGGCATTCACAGTACAAAATCTTATTACTGGTTGAAAGGCTACGGTCATCTCAAGATTGGACTACTGTAACGCCCTCTACGAGGAGGAGCTGAGGAGCCTTCTAATCAAGGTGAAAGAAGAAAGCGCAAAAGCTGGGTTGCAGCTAAACATCAAAAAAACCAAGATTATGGCAACAAGAATGATTGACAACTGGGAAATAGAGGGAGAAAATGTGGAGGCCGTGACAGACTTTGTATTTCTAGGTGCAAAGATTGCTGCAGATGCAGACTGTGGCCAGGAAATCAGAAGACGCTTATTTCTTGGGAGGAGAGCAATGTCCAATCTCGATAAAATAATAAAGAGTAGAGACATCAGACTGGCAACAAAGATCCGCCTAGTCAAAGCCATGGTATTCCCTGTAGTAACCTACGGATGTGAGAGCTGGACCTTAGGGAAGGCTGAGCAAAGGAAGATAGATGCTTTTGAGCTGTGGTGCTGGAGGAAAGTGCTGAGAGTGCCTTGGACTGCGAGAAGATCCAACCAGTCCATCCTCCAGGAAATAAAGCCCGACTGCTCATTGGAGGGAAGGATACTAGAGACAAGTTGAAGTACTTTGGCCACATCATGAGGAGACAGCAAAGCCTAGAGAAGACAATTATGCTGGGGAAAGTGGAAGGCAAAAGGAAGAGGGGCCGACCAAGGACAAGATGGCTGGATGGCATCCTTGAAGTGACTGGACTGACCTTGAAGGAGCTGGGGGTGGTGACGGCCGACAGGGAGCTCTGGCGTGGACTGGTCCATGAGGTCACAAAGAGTCGGAGACGACTGAACGAATGAACAACAACAAACGCCCTCTACATAGGCCTGCCTCTATCGGTGATTCGGAAACTTAAACTAGTGCAAAATGCTGCTGCCCGGCTTCTCGCAGGGTCTCAGCGAAGTGTCATATCACTCCAATCCTGCAGCAACTGCACTGGTTGCCGATTGAGAATCGGATTACCTTTAAAGTGCTGATTCTTACCTTCAAGGCCTTATATGGCATGGGGCCGGAATACCTGAGGGATCGCTTCATCCCCTACAAACCCCAGAGATCACTCCGTTGAGACAATCAGAATTTACTTGAAGTTCCCAATTTTAGGACCTTTCACCTGATGTCTACTAGGCGTAGAGCATTTACGGTGGTGGCTCCATACTTGTGGAATGCCTTGCCAGCTGGAACACGAGCTCTCAGAGATTTACAGTCTTTTCGTAGAGCTTGTAAAACTTATTTATTCAGGCTGGCATTTATTTGTTATTCAAACTTATATGCCGCCACTCCCCTGGGGCTTGGAGTGGCTTACAAGAACAGGCTAAAATCTAACACAGTTTAAAAACAATTTAAAACAATTTAAAAACAATTTAAAAAAAATATCAAAGATCAAAGACCTGTCGAAACAGATATGTCTTACATGCCCTGCGGAAAGTTGATAGGTCCTGCAAAGCACGGACTTCAGGTGGCAGAGTATTCCAGAGTGATGGTGCCACTGCTCTAAAGGCTCTGCGTCTGGTTGCTGTTAGACGCAAGGAATTTCTTTTGACACTGGGAATTTCCAATAAATCTTGGTCCTCAAAACGGAGGGATCTCTGGGGTTGGTAGGGGGTGAGGCGGTCCCTCAGGTACTTTGCTGATTGAATTCTTCCTTGATTTAAATGTTATGTATTACATGTGTATATTGTGAACCGCTTCAAGCCTTCGGGGAGTGGCGGTATACAAAATTGATTAATAAATAAATAAAAGGGTTTTTCAGTCAACTATGGCATTATTATATTGGATAGATACTTCGCAAGCTAAAGCACGTAACTGAACAAAACTTAAAAACCTTACCTTTTTCTTAACTGGTTGCTCAGCAGTGCCCAGAAGAACTGCTTGATGTTTGACAACACCATTTACAATAAAAGTTACAAGCTCCCGAATTTTGCCACCTTCCAGAGGTGTCCATGTTACTGAAATCAATATTCTCTCTCCAGGCTTCAAAAGAAAAAGAATGAAAGTTTAGAAAGGGAAGCACATTTGTATGGCCACAAATATTTGCAGAATAGGTTCATATGCAAAAATATAGATCAATCCTTCTACATTTATTTATGCATTACACCGAATGTCTGCACAGTTTTAACAATTACATCATGCTTTATAAAAGAACAGTTGAGCATGCAAAAAAACCCAGTGGTTTGTTGTAGGTTTTTTCGGGCTATATGGCCATGGTCTAGAGGCATTTTCTCCTGACATTTCACCTGCATCTATGGCAAGCATCCTCAGAGGTAGTGAGGTCTGTTGGAAGTAGGAAAATGGACCTCACTACCTCTGAGGATGCTTGCCATAGATGCAGGCGAAACGTCAGGAGAAAATGCCTCTAGACAATGGCCATATAGCCCGAAAAAACCTACAACAACTCAGTGATTCCGGCCATGAAAGCCTTCGACAACACATTAAATACAGTGGTATTAACAGTATCCACAAAGAATTGGTTCCAGGATTCCCCAAAGATATCAAAAACATGCACATTCAAGTCCCTATCAGAAATGATAGGGACTTGCAGAAGGCATTGCAGAAAGCCCTGGAACGCCACATTCCTTCAGGTTTTCTACAAGGAACCCCACCACCTCAATGGTAGAAGCAGGCAAGTGGTGTGGTCACCACCACAGAATCTATGGTGGATTGAATGCAGAGATAGTGAGTCGGTAGAAAAGGCAGGCATAATGAATATGCCACTATCAAAATATTGCAATGCTTAACAGTGGGGGAAAATGCCACTGAAACATGTAACAGTGGAGGTGTCAGTCTCCTTGTGGAGCAGTGGTTCTTCAACCTGTGGGTCTCCAGATGTTTTTGGCCTTCAGCTCCCAGAAATGTTATGTATTACATGTTTTTGGCCTTCAGCTCCCAGAAATCCTAACAGTTGGTACATTGGCTGGGATTTCTGGGAGTTGTAGGCCAAAAACATCTGGGGATCCCAGGTTGCGAACCACTGTTGTGGAGAGAAAAAGCGGGGTGTAAATAAACATAATAAAATTTATACATTCATTATATTAAGATTAGGATTTCATCTTGAATTAGAAGGCTGTGCTCTAAACTAACAGATGTTAATTCAAACTATAGTGCTTTAGCTAACTCAGAATAAGAAAAAAATGTACATATCTCTATATATAAAAATGCTCTGTGCGTAATGAGTACCTTAAAAATAAAAGAACCAATGAACGAAATCACACCAAATTTGGCAAAAAAATGTCTCACAACATAAGGAGTGACCATCACTCAAAAAATTATGATGTTGTCATTTGGGAGTTGTAGTTGCTGGGATTTATAGTTCACCTACAATCAAAGAGCATTCTGAACTCCATCAATGATGGAATTGAACCAAACTTGGCACACAGAACTCCCCTGACCAACAGAAAATACTGGAAGGGTTTGGTGAGCATTGGCCTTCAGTTTGGGAGTTGTAGTTCACCTTCATCCCGAGAGCACTGTGGACTCAAACAATGATGGATCTGGACCAAACTTGGCATAAGCACCCAATACGCCTAAATATGAACACAGATGGAGTTTGGGGAGGAAAGACCTCGACATTTGGGAGTTGTAGTCACTGGGATTCACAGTTCACCTACAATCAAAGAGGGGTCTGAACCCCATAAACGACAAAACCAGGGCAAACTTCCCACACAGAATCCCCATGACCAACAGAAAATACTTAAGGCCATCCAGTCCAACTCTATCAGGGCAAGAAAACGTAATCAAAGTCCTCCTGACAAAGAGCCATCCAGACATAGTTACAGATAGATAGATAGATAGATAGATAGATGATAGATAGATGTGATTCACACACAGAGAGATATAGTATCATAGATTTGAAAGGGACTCTTAAAGGACAATGATATCTTGCATGTTCCAGAGTAGGCAAACCAGACACTCTCCACACATCAACACTGACAAAGAAAAAGCAAAAAATACTGTTTACTCACAAGCATAAAGAAATTACATATATTAGAAACCAACACTTTCTCATTACTTTATTTTCAAGATCACCAGACTGGGCCACAGCAACGCGTGGCAGGGGACAGCTAGTATTACTAATAATACAATATAGTGGTATGGTGCAATATAGCAATGTTTACAGCTGATATCGTAGTATGCTAATAATATAATATAATGGAGCCCCCGGTGGTGCAGTGGGTTAAAGCGCTGAGCTGCTGAGCTTGTTGATCGAAAGGTTGCAGCTTCGATTCCGGGGAGCGGTGTGAGCTTCCGCTGTCAGCCCTAGTTTCTGCCAACCTCGCAGTTCTAAAACATGCAAATGTGAGTAGATCAATCTATCTCAATATTGTGGGATCGTCTGCCTTGATATTCTGGGTTATATTGCTGTATGGAAGGGCCCTGAGTGGTGTTCTTTAAATACTGGTAGGAATTCTAGAGAGCTAACAATCAAGTGCCAGTTAACACCTCCCAAACAAAGGATACCCAGGCAGCAACAGCCAGGCTTTGAAGCTGCAAGGCTTTTCAATGCTAATCATGGTGGCCAATTGCAACATTCACACTTGCGTCAAACAGACAAGAGTTCAATGTATTGTCGAAGGCTTTCATGGCTGGAATCACTGGGTTGTTGTAGTTTTGGGTTGTTGCTGGGATTTATAGTTCACCTACAATCAAAGAGCATTCCGAACCCCACCAATGATGGAATTGAACCAAACTTGGCCCACAATTCTCTCATGACCAACAGAAAATACTGGAAGGGTTTGTTGGGCAGTGTCCTTTGGTTTTGGAGTTGTAGTTCACCTCCATCCAGAGATCACTGTGAATTCAAACAATGATGGATCTGGACCAAACTCCACATGAATACTCAATATGCCCAAATGTGAACACTGGTGGAGTTTGGGGAAAATAGATTTTGTCATTTGGGAGTTGTAGTTGCTGGGATTTATAGTTCACCTACAATCAAAGAGCATTCTGAACCCCACCAATGATGGAATTGAACCAAACTTGGCACACAGTCCCATGACCAACAGAAAATACTGGAAGGGTTTGTTGGGCAGTGTCCTTTGGTTTTGGAGTTGTAGTTCACCTCCATCCAGAGATCACTGTGAATTCAAACAATGATGGATCTGGACCAAACTTGGCACAAGCACCCAATACGCCTAAATATGAACACAGATGGAGTTTGGGGGGAAAAGACCTCGACATTTGGGAGTTGTAGTCACTGGGATTCACAGTTCACCTACAATCAAAGAGGATTCCGAACCCCACAAACGACAGAATCAGGGCAAACTTCCCACACAGAACCCCCATGACCAACAAAAAATACTTAAGGCCATCCAGTCCAACTCCCTTCATCAGGGCAAGAAAACGTAATCAAAGCACTCCTGACAAAGAGCCATCCATAGTTACAGATAGATAGATAAATAGATAGATGTGATTCACACACACAGAGACATAGTGTCACAGATTTGAAAGGGACTTAAAGAAGGACTATGATATGTTGCATATTCCAGAGTAGGCAAACCAGACACTCTCCACATCAACACTGACAAAGAAACAACAAGAAATATTGTTTACTCACAAGCATAAAGGAATTACATATATTAGAAACCAACACTTTCTCATTACTTTATTTTCCAGATTAAGACTGGGCCACTGAATGGGCTCAAGGCAGCATTTCCGAACCTGGAAAGTCAAGACCCTGGGGGGGGAGGTCACCAGGGGGGTGTACGAAAAGTCACCCAAGACCACCAGAAAACACAGTATTTTCTGTTGGTCATGGGGGTTCTGTGTGGGACGTTTCACCCAATTCCATTGTTGGTGGGGTTTGGAATGCTCTTTGATTGTAGGTGAACTATACATCCTAGTAACTACATCTCCTAAATGTCAAGGTCTATTTCCTCCGAATTCCATCTGTGTTCACATTTGGGCATTTTGAGTATTCCTGTCAAGTTTGGTCCAGATCCATTATTGTTTGAGTCCACAGCGATCTCTGGATGTAGGTGAACTACAACTCCAAAACCAAAGGACACTGCCCACCAAAATCTTCCAGTATTTTCCGTTGGGAGAACTGTGTGTCAAGTTTGGTTCAATTCCATCGTTGGTGGAGTTCAGAATGCTCTTTGATTGGAGGTGAAGTATAAATCCCAGCAACTGCAACTCCCAAATGTCAAGGTCTATTTCCTTTAAACTCCATCTGTGTTCATATTTGGGCATATGGAATATTCGTGCCAAGTTTGGTCCAGATCCATCACTGTTTGAGTCCACAGTGCTCTCTGGATGTGGGTGAACTACAATTCCCAAGGTCAATGTCCACCAAACCCTTCCAGTATTTTCTGTTGGTCATGGGAGAACTGTGTGCCAAGTTTGGCCCAATTCCATCATTGGTGGGGTTCAGAATGCTCTTTGATTGTAGGTGAACTATAAATCCCAGCAACTACAACTCCCAAATGAAAAAATCATAATTTTTTTGATTGATGGTCACTACTTGCATTGTGAGATGTTTTGTTGCCAAATTTGGTGTAATTTCATTAATTGGTTCTTTTGTTTTGAAGGTACTCATTATGCACAGAGCATTTTTATATATAAAGAAGATTGTATATGCATATAATATTTATAATATTATAATGTAATGCAATATAATAATACATTATCATAATATATTTATTTACATTATATGTAATATTACTAATAATACAATATAGTGGTATGGTGCAATATAGCAATGTTTACTGCTGATATTGTACTATGCTAATAATATAATATATTCTGTGTGTAATATATACCTTGTAAGCCGCTCAGGGTGAGAAGGGCAGCATATAAATGTCATAAATAAATAAATAAATAGGAATGCTGGGAGATTATGATGATGAAGTCCAAACCCCCTCCAGGGCCAAAGTCTGTGAAGCAGCACTTTGAATCAGGCAAGTTCCAGGTGTGGCGTTCAGGCCTCCAACTCCCAGCGTTCCTGACCATAGAAGAAGCTGGCAAGGGCTTCTGGGAGTTGTAGGCCCAATCAGGGGTGGGTTGAAAAGGCTTCTGACTGACTCACTTGGAGGAAGAGCGGGAAGCCCGGCGCCTCCACGGCGAAGCCCTTCGAGGCGGGCGGGGGCCGGTCCAGGGCCACGCTGAGGGGCTCAGCGTTGGGGTTCTCCAGGGCCAGGAGCCGGGCCCGCGCCGCTCCCACTCGGACGCTCCCGAAGCAGACGAAGGGCGGCCGGGAGAAGTGGCTTAGCGACAGCAGCGATAGGCCCTCTTCGCCCCCTTCCTCCTCCGCCTCATAGCCGCTCCTGACAGCCCAGCGCCTTCTCTTGAACTCAGCGTCCTGCCTCCCGACTGCCATCACCCTCCTCCGCCTCCAAATGCCCAGCCAGGAACCGCCGCTCGAGCATTCAAACTTAAGGGCAGCAGCCAATCAGGGGGAAGAGACGCCATAGCCGAGCCTTCCAATCACCAGCGGCGGCTTGGGAAGAGTCAACCAATCGCGAGCGCGGATCTTTTGATTGGCTCCGCTGGCTCCCCACCCACCCCTTTTTTAATTCTATGCTTCTCCTACACAGCAGCCAATGGTAAGGAAGTGTTTGCTTTCAAACCACCACAGAGCAGGAGGCTGCGTTTCAGAGGCAGGACTAAATTGTGTTGAGTTGAATGGCATGATCTAATACAACAATATCATACGAAAGCTGACTGGCACAACCTGGGGATCACAACCAGATACAGTGAAGACATCTGCCCTTGCGCTGTGCTACTCTGCTATTTATTTATTTGTCGTGTCATCAGCAACCATTGTATCATAATTCTAACAGAGCAAACCAAACACAGATTAAAAAGAAAAAGAAAAAAAACACACAGATTTTGCAAATTTGGTATTTGTTTAAATGTCCTTTGAACAGTATCTGGCCACTTGGAGTGCCTCTGGTGTTGCCGCAAGAAGGTCCTCCATTGT